TGAGAGTCCATTACTGGTCTCTCCTTTCTTGAGTCTTGTGGACTGAAGAATTGCTAAAGTGCTTTGTTACTCGCTATTTATACTTGGATGCTGGAATGCTAGGTATTTGTTTTCTTCTCGCTTTGTCTGCTTCTAGAATATTCTAGTATGTCTAAACTTGTTTACTATGTACGTTCTCACGTGGGATTTGCTAATTATATCTCGATTGAATCAGATTTCATCATCCTATTCTACGCAGATATTGTAGTTAAACTGACAATTGAGGTCAAAGAAGTTTCTAAAAAAACAAGGACAATTGTGTTTGCTTTGATAGGGCATGACAACAAGATATTTACTAGTGAGACAAGGTTGGGTCACATGATGAAAAACGCATTTCAAAACTTCTTGTTGATCTCCTACTATTCTAGCTTTGTGCCTCCTAACAAACAAGCTATGAGCTCACTCTGTTACAACATGTTTATGACTGGTTAGGCTTTACAGCTAAAGATTTCTTTAGGGGGAGGTAATCAACCTTCTGTAGTCACCTCTGAAACATACTTGAAGGTACCAGAGTTACTCATCTTTGCAAGAGCCCAGCTGGCACCCTGTAGCTTGGAGGTTAGTGAATGTATTTAACAGTTTCATGATCACTGAGCACATAGGTCAGTTTCTACAGTAGATGGTTTTGTTTATAAAAAAACTATTTAAAAAAAACTACTACTTGGGGTTTTGGGATTGAGATAGAACTGCCCCTTGGAAGTGATTGGGGCCTCACCTCGGAAGAGATTGGGGGGGGGGGGGGGGCTTACATTGGAAGAGATGGGGCCTCACACTGGAAAAGACAGTGGCATCACCAATGAAGAGACTGTGGCCCCACCTTCGAAGAAACTAGGACCTCAGCTTTGAAAAGACTGGGGACTCACCTTGGAAGAGACTAGGGCCTCACCCTCAGAGAGACTGGTGCCTTACTTTGGAAGTGACTGGGGCCTTACCGTGAAAGAGACGGCCCTCACCTTGGAAGAGACTAGGGCCTCACCCTCAGAGAGACTGGTGCTTTACTTTGGAAGTGACTGGGGCCTTACCATGAAAGAGACGGCCCTCACCTTGGAAGAGACTGGGTACTCATCTTGAAATAAACTGGGGCCTCACCTTGGAAGAGACTGGGGCCTCACCTTGGAAGCTATTGGGGCCTCACCTTAGAAGAGATTGGGGCCTCACTTTGTAACATTCCCAGAACCAGCAGTGGTGGTTACAGGGTAGCCAATTTTATCCAAACAGCCTGCAGTGGCCACGAATACCTGGCTATCTGTTCCTGTCTTGAATGGATATACTAACTGAGGTCGAGCCTGCGCATGTCTGTCTATGCATTTCAGATGCATGCAAACGTATAGCCAGTGCATAATTTAGTGTGTATGATAGTCTTACAAGTCATCAAAGAACAACAAATGAAATGGTTTGGACACCTAACAAGAATGCCCTGGTACTATCTGCCACAGCGTGCCACACTAAAACATTATAAGGGGTATGTTGTTGTTATCGATCCAGCGGCGCATGAGCTTTCGCCCTTTGGCCCAATGCCATGTAGTGGAATTTGCATGTTTTCACAAGCTGTTCTTTTCCTCCGTACAAGATGTTCCACTTGTCTGGTCTCGGAGGGAGTAGCGTTCTTCTTGTCCCACTGAGTTTTGGGCACTCAAAGAGGTGGTGTTCAACAGTTTCGTAGGGGTAGTTACATAGCTGGCACTCTGGGGAGTGTTGTGGCTGTATTCTGTTTAGGTGTCCATTGTTGCGTTCAAAGTCTGAAGATGGTGGCCTGGTCCCTTCTTGTTAGATGGTTAATGCTGTCATTAGGATCAGGGCCAGACATATGTCTATAAACCTCTCTTCCAGTGACTCCCATGTTCTTGTGTTGCTCCTTTCTTTGCCAATCTGTCAGCTCTGTCATTACCTGGTGTGCCGGAGTGACCTGGAATCCACTGCATCACTATTCTGATGTTGTATGAGGTAATAAGCTGATCAGCATCCAGGATTATCTTGGCTATGTCAGTTCTGCAGCGTTCACTGCCCTCCAGAGCTTGAAGGGCAGACATTGAATCTGTGAAGATGACAATATTTTGGACCTTTGAAGGGTAAACATCCATTACAGTCTTTAGGTGGTATACTGCTGTTTCCAGTGCAATTATTTCAGCTTCATAGTTTGAACAGAATTCCCCGCATGCATCAAAAATCTCTTCAACAGATCCATCGGGATAACCTATGAAGATTCCGTAACCTGCTTTAATGGTAGCTTTAAATGCTGATCCATCAGTATAGACATGTATCCATTCTTGGGGGTAAGAATCAACAGTCTTTAGGGATGAGTTCATAAGAGCGATTGGGTCGGACTGTTTGGTTTCCTCGCCTACCAATTTAATTCGGACTTCTGGAGCTTTAAAGCGACCATGTGGTGGTAGGTTTCTTGCAACATTCTGAATTCCTTGACGTCTTTCTGGGAGGTGGTATCTGTCCTGAATTTCATTAACACAGTGTAAAACCGATTTGTGCTTTATTCTTTGTTTGGATTCCCAGTTTTCTACAAGATGTCTATTAGGATGGTTACGATTTTTCCTAACGCATCTTTCATAAATTTCTAAAGTGGCTTTTTCTCTCCGCAACCCTAGGGGTTCCACATTTGTATGGATTTCACATACAGCAGTTGGTGTAGACTGCATAGCTCCGCAGATTAATCGGAGGGAATTATTTTGTACTCTGTCAAGAGTCTCTAGGTTAGTTTTGGAGCAAGTTGTAAGCAGTGAGTTGTTGTACTCTATCACAGAGCGAACATATCCTAGATATAAGCCCCTCAGAATTTCCTTGTCTGATCCCCATGATGTACCTGCAAGTCTCTTTAATAACTGTAACCGCCTCAATGCCTTATTCCTGATGTTTTCAATATGGTTCTTGAGGCTGAGCTGCCGGTCAAGTGTGACTCCAAGGTATGTGGGATGCTCTTCTTTCATCACTTGGTGTTTGTCTAACCTCAGGTTAATATTCTTCCTTGCTACTTGGTGGCTTTTGGTAAAGATTGTGTAGACCGTCTTTGCACAGTTAACCTTGAGTTTCCATCTTTGGCAGTACTCATGCAGTCTTCTAAGGTCTCCATTCAGTCTTTGGGCTCCACTTTCCACATTTTCATGACTCTGCCATATTGCTAGGTCATCAGCGTACAAGGCTTTTTCGGCCTTGATTTGTTCTGGCAGGTCATTGATAAAGATTAGGAATAGTGTACAGCTCAATGATGAGCCTTGTGGCAAGCCCTCCTCCAAGTTTTCTTAAGAAGAGATTGCGTTGTGCATCTTAGTCTGGATTGTTCTATCTATCAGGAAGTATTTCACCCAGTTATACAATCTGCCATGTATTCCTATGCTCATCATCTTCATCAGGAGACCTTTTCTCCATACTCTGTCATAGGCCTGCTGGAGGTCGACAAAGACTGCCACTGTGTGTTTCTTATTCTGGAAGCCATCATGTATTCTTTGTGTCAGTCTGAACAGCTGGTCTTCTGTGCAGCTGTTGGTTCTGAAGCCTGCCTGTTCATGGCATAGAACACCAGAACTCTCAAGGAACCAATATAAGCGCCTGTTTATCATTCTTTCTGCAACTTTGCCCAAGCATGATGTTAAGGATATCGGGCGGTAGCTTTTGGGGTCATCTGGAGGCTTTTTGGTTTTAAGAATGGGGACGATATATGCATTCCTCCATGCCTTTGGAAGTTTGCTTGACCTCCAAGTTTTATTAATAAGCCTGAAAACTACTTCTCTCCCAGACCGGCTAAGATGTAGCAGCATTTCGTTGTGGATCTTATCTGGGCCTGGAGATTTTCTAGGTTTTAATTTCTTCAGGGCTTGCTCTAATTCATCCATGCTAAATTCATTTTCAAAAAGGGAGTCGCTGGCTGTTGGAGCTCTCTCTTGTTTCTTCAACTGAGAGAGCTGTGTTCTATTGAGTTCTGACAGCTTACCTGCTCTGTTAACTGAGGCAAAATAATGATTGAAATGGTATAGAGCGAGTGCAAGACCTTGGAAAATATGGAGTGATGGCATTAAGAACAGCCTTACAGAAATGAACATCAGTCTTTATAGTTTGGTCTTAATAGTGGGAGTCTTAATAGTGCTCTTGACCGAACTCATCAACGAATGTTACATCTCCACTCCACACTTTGCTGAGGGACAAGGTGGAAAAGAAGAAGAAGATGATAAGTTGTGAAAGAGAAAAGCCATCGACCTAACCATTCGAGATTGAGTGAATATTGAAACAATCAGACAAATTGTGGGAATGACACCTTGTACTAAATTCATTGAGAAACAGCAGATCAAGTGGTTTGGCCATTTTGTTAGAATGCAGAAAGATCAAATACCATCATAGGCACCACATCTCAGAAGATCAGCTACAAGAGCAAAAGAATGACCATGAAAAATAATGAACATAAATATTAAAGACACTTTACACCTTCATGGCATGACAATAGCCAGTGGCAACCAGCAAGCACTGGATCACAAATTGTTCCTCTGCACTAGGCTTAACAGTACAAGTAATTTATGATGATGATGATGCACTTAGAGTTGAATGCTTGACAGTCATAACCATAGATACCTATTAGTGTCAGAGGACAGAGACTCTGCAACCTAGAACAGAGAATGAATATATTAACCCCACCAGGACCGCACAACAAGCCTGGTGACACAAAGTGCCATCATTTGGATGAGAATCCTCTGGGCATAAGCCCCTGTTTAACCGTTTGGTTATATCAGGGCCCCCGACAACAGCTTTAAAGTGAGGCTTTAAAATAACGAACAAAATTGAGTACCATTTTGTATAGTATTTGTGTATTATTGCGATGTTTACAACACTGGTAGAGTCATTGCATCAATCTTCATTATGGAGATGGTACACATTTGTATTTTAATCATATAAAATGTTTTTTTTTCCTAAATGTTAATTAAAAGTAGCAAAAAAAATAAGCACAAACGAGACAAGCATACCAGAACAAAGTAGAAGAAGGCAAGGACTGGAATCAGCACAGCTCCAAAAATTGGTGTCTCAATCATGATAACTATGATTGTCATCAAATTCGAACCGAATGCATTCATAAAGTCACGAGAAATAATTGGCAGGAAGTTGTCTACCTGAAAAATAAATTTCAGTCATTTAAATGCCTATTCATGAAATCTTAAAATGAAAACAGACACAGGGTATTCTGACGGTACTACTGACATGATGATGATAATTATGATCCTCTTTGTCAAAGTTTGCCATTATATGTCACATAGGTAAAAAAAAAAAGTAAAAGTAAAGGACCCTTTCCATGCCATTAGGCGTATAGGGCATATAGGGCTAGACCTTTATTTTTATAGACCAACGGCACAAGATGAGTGATGTGGTTAGCATCACGCCGGCCGCCTCTACTTCCCAGGATTGTACCTGGTACCCACTCAAGGCTGGGTCGACCTGGGAGCCAAGGTCATTTTTGAAGAAAAGTCCGTCTCCACCAGGGAGCGAACCCACCACCTTCCGATCCGCGGCGCGCGTCTAGCCGCTCTGCCACGGCGACTTCCATATGTCACATAGGGCTCGCAGTATATTCCTCAATTTCCTTCCCTTCTGATTGCTGCCTAGCTTTTAACGTATGTGTACGCTACTGGATATACTGAAGCTGCTGTCTCATTGTGTCCATTTTTCCACTAGTGATGGTGATGGAGTTTCTGTGTGTTTTTCTTGGCACAGGAGCGGAGCAGCTATGGGTTGACCCGTTTGCTATGAAGTTCAAAAAGAAGATTACTAGATTACGAGAAAAGAAAATCTTAATTTGTTGCAATAACTTCAGAAATGAGAAAAAATGAATAAACTCACTGTGCACCCAACAAGCATGTCCTAAAAGCCGACTAATAAGGGGTCTTTCCTTTGAAGTCAGGAACCAACAGTCTGTATACAAATAAGAATAGATCTGGCATAAAATAGGTTTGAAATCAAGATACACAAGTTTTGGAACAAGACTTAAGTCCAAAGACTGACTAAAAAAACAGAACTTTCAACTGGGGGTTTACAGCTGGTGAAGATGAAACAGAAATAATTACACAAGTCAGTGGTTTCCAAAGTAAAATCAATAATGAGAAAATTATTCACTTCAGTTTACATTACGTTTTCGGTTGTTTTATCAAATTTGAAACTATGCCTCACATATTGTATGGGTTCATAAATTTAATGCTTTATTTTCTTTTAAAACTGTTTTTTTTTTTTTCCAGTATTTTCCCTGGAAAAGAGAGCTGGCATTTTCGTGTCATGGTCGACAATTATTTAGGTAGCAACATTTGCATATTTTAGCACAACCATCAAATTCCAGCAAACTCCTTAGTCACCTTTTATGACATGTTTGTTGAGTGGAGTGGGTCTATTATTTTCTCCTGAAAATGGGGCCATGCAGCCCCCATCATTATCAGCAACCTTTGTGTGCCATTAGACATCACATAGGACTTGTATTTGATTCCTCAACTCCACTCTATTCCATGCAACTCTCTCGATTTCTGACATGGAGTTCAGCCTAGCATTTTTAGCCTCTCGTAATAATTTTCATCTTAGATATCCTCCTTTTCTCACACAATTTGTTTCCAATTTCAGTGCTTATTTTGTAACTCTTTGCTCATTTAATCTCATAATGTGCCCAATATATCTACAGAATACAGGTATTGATCCAGACATTTCTCTGGTCTCCACACTCTTTTTGAATTCATCCCATTTTATGTTCATAATTTTCCCCAGACATTTATTTTCCAACTCATTCAGTTTTCATTGTGTATCTTTGGTGGTTTTTCATTTTTTGTTGGCATTTTTTATAAGTGAAATAATGTTAGAATTAAGTATTTGTAGTTTGGGCTTAAAGCTGTATAAGTTGGAGCTCATTTTGTTAAGGCTTTTAAAGACTGTTGTTGCTTTGCCAGTATGTGTAATAATTTTGTTTGTTGAATCTTCTGGAGAGTAAAAAATGCTATCCAGATAGGGGAAATGGTCCGTTACTTTCATTGGTTTGTTCTCTAGCATGACACCTACATGATTTGTTTTTCGTATCTTCAGTATGTTTTCTCATAGTCCTATTTTTGATGCTGTAGATGACAAATCATTTGTTTTTCTGTGCATGCATAAAGAACAAGAATCTGATTGATGAAAAATGAATGGATGTCTACATTTCGAATAATTAACTTTCTGACTTTCAGTAACTTTAAGATTTGTGAATTTATTGATGAATGATATATAACAACAATATTATTATGATTATGTCTGCTGTGTTAGAAAAATATTTTAGAAAAAGAGAAATTACAATTTCAATGTCTCTTGAGCATCGGTTGATAATACGACCAATAGGAGTTGTATCAAAGAAAGACATTGGTGCTCTGAAAATCCTTGATGTCATTTCAGAGTGCAGATTTCTTCCTGCCATCACCATCCTTGTCCAAAACAAGTAATAAAATCCAATCAGCAAAACAACTGCCAGGATAGAAAGTCACAAAAGTCCATCAAGTAAATAAATAAAAGGATGCATTAAACAGAGTAGTAATATTAATTTTAGTGAGCATGTCATAGACACAAACTGACAGTGAATGATGTTCATAGACACAAACTGACAGTGAATGATGTTCATAGACACAAACTGACAGTAAGTGATGTTCACAGATACAAAATGACAGTGAATGATGTTTAAACAATAATACTATTTACTACCAAAAAAAAAATTTATCTAACCGGAGAGCTTACATTTGCCAGGTAACAGTTGAATTTCCTGTTTCACGACAGGGAAAAAATGCATATTTTATGAAATGGTGTTTGAAAAATGCTACAAATTGTATTTGAAATATCTAGAATGCCACCAAAACCAGTCTTTCTTATATCTGCTTATTTTTGTCCTAATGAGTTAGTCCATGAAATGCAATCTGCTTGAGTTCCACAATATTTATCCGTTTCAACAGAGAGTCCCATTGTTTACACTATAATCCTTTTGTGCCAGTGTTATGTCACGTAGGGTTGGCATTCTAGTTCCCCATTCCATTATATCCTGGCAATTTTTCAAAAAATATCCTGATCAACCCTCAGGGTTGTAAGTGGGATATATAGTGTTCATTCATCGAGTTCTCAGAGTATATATTTGTTATTTTATTTATTGGGCAACTATTTATTTGAGATAAATATGTAATTTGTATTATAAGTAAGTAAATTTTACCCCACTAGGACATCTCACAGAGCGATAAACACCCACAAAGTGCCACCATGTTGATGAGGATCCCCCATGGAAAGATCCTGGAAACCGCATTCAGCCATCAGGCTATATTGCGGCCCCTAGCAACAGCCAGGGTGGGGCTTCAAAATAACGAAAAATTGTATCCCACAAGGGGGACAATTATTATTCAATTTGTATTACCGGAAATATTGCTTTAAATGGGGTTGTACTTATGAAATAAATTGTATTATGAAAATTTGGATAATGGTCCTAACATTGTGTCAGTAAAATAATGGATTTATTTTTAATTTGCACTATGAATTCGTAGATAACCTTACTAATATTGTTTAATTAAAATGGTGTGTTTATGATATCATGAGTATAACAGTTGATTATCCTCACCAGTTTTTAACTTCTTCAAGGTTGCACATATCAGTCATCCCCATGTGGGATGCAATTTTTCATTATTTGAAGCCCCACCCTGGCTTCTGCTGGGATCCCTGAATATAGCCGGGGCATAGATATGGTCTATAGGCTGAAAGGGGTTTCAGGGACCTCTGCATGGGTAATCCTCATCCGCATGGTGGCACTTTGTGTCACCGGTGTTTATTGCTTGTGTGATGTCCTAGTGGGGTAAAAAGTCAGTCAGTCTTCAAGGAGGGCATGGGTATTCTTTACCCTTCTATATATAGTTTTTAGTTCTAGTAATAAATTGCTTGACCCTGCCACGCAGCTCTCTGGGGCTGTGTATGTTCAAGCAAGTTTTCTATTGTCATAGGCAATTTACAGAGATTTACATAGTCAGTTAATGGCTTTCTTTGTATTTCCCATTTTTTTGTACAGCAAACGATGTAATATCTAGAACTGGTCCTAAACCTACCCCACAGTCTCAGTCTATGTTGCATGAGAGAGTGCAGCCTACGGAGTGTGGTTTCAGAACTCTTAACATTTTGTGGTGGGCCCCCCCCCCACACAAAAAAAAACCTTATGCGGTGTGTACCAGAGATGTGGGTTCTAAAAAAAGAGTGACACTGAGGAGGTTTACATTTTACACTGTTTACTGCATTTTTGCAACGTAAGTATATCTGAAGATGTCACCTAATAACGCAATGTCACCGGCGGCTGCTCACAAGAACGAGTAACACACAGTGCAGATAGCTTTACGATAATAAGACAATACAATGTGACACCCCTGTCATGAAGGCTAGCCTTAGCGAGCCTGAATTAAAAGAACCAGTGTGCAGTAGGGTGGATTTCGTAAAATTAACCGATCTCTTCTATTTATTAACTCTACCAGACCACTGACCCGCTATTACGGGAATTTCCTAACCTGCCGCTAAACCACTGTCCCTCAATGTCGGGAATTTGTGTACTATGAGAAAACAATGAGTCACAAACTAAAAATATCTAGCCAATCGTAATCAGATCTCATGGATAGTCTTCCTAGATGCCGCCCAAACATGTTTGGATTAAATTTGTGTTGTTTTGCACGAAAAAATTCTGAAAATTCACAATAAAATGAGCGGCTGATGAACCAAGCACTTCGACAGGAAAGTGAAGTAGGTCTAGGCTTTTCACAGTCCAACAGGTGATCAATACTTTGGTTTTTTCAGACTCTGCCGAGTCATAATTTCATGAAGAATTTGTTCACAGTTAAAGTGACACAGACAGTGAGATGTGGAATGAGGAGGAGAATCTTGCAACTATAAATCTAGAAATAGATCGAAAGTAGGAGAAGGGGGCGTGTCCCTCAAACAGCAACATCTGGTGTTCACTTTGTGAAACAAGGTTGATCCTGCTGGGTGGTTTAGCACACAAAGGTGGAATATTGGTGCAGTGGGTTTACCTATTTTTCTACAGTGTCTCCAAGTTTCATCTTATTCTAGCCACTTGTTTGCCTGTAACTAATATTTTTGTATATCATGTTGGTTTTTTCGCGTTAATGCCCAGGAGCTCAGGTTTAGGGGGCAGTTATATTCAGCGCCTGAGGTCTGGTAGAGTTAAGCCGTCTGCTAAATATGTTTTTTTACATGATTTTTTTAAAACCTGCACAGTTGATAGTGAGCCGGTTAAAACTCTGAGTTGTTTGAGGAAACTGGAAAGAGGGAAAGAGAGGGCGGGGGATGCTGTCATATACCATGTAACATCAACATCCCTGACTATATCTAACACTTGGACAACTGGTAAAAATGTTACACTATCTCAATCAACATCATTGCATGAACACTGGGCATTCCCATACATGCACAGTCCTCCGATGCAGCAACCGGTCTAAGTTACCTCTACTGATTGGTAGATATAAACACATAACATTTCTGTTTCTAACATTTAAGTGCATATAGTATTAAACGTTTGACTTACGCTGAACTATGCCCAGGATGCCATAGATGGCCAGGTAGTTGTCACTCACATCAGCCAAGTTGTCAATGGGGTTGGTTCTATTGGCCAGGTAGTCATCTTCAGTCCAATTTGTCAACCAAAAGTTTGTGCCTACACTGGTTGCTTGAAAACTCCAAAATATCAAAAGGGCAGCAAAAAGATGATACAACCCTCCAGCTTTCAGATATTTAAAATAAACACTGAGTGGGACCTGCAAATGTGTATTTTTGTTTATATAAACATAAATATTTGTAAATCAAATTAAAATAAAATAAAGATCTTTTAGCATACTTGCTCTAATGTCTTACAGTCTCTTCTTCTTAGTTTTTACCAGCTGTAAACTCCAGTAAAAAGTTTTGGTGTTTCATCCATTTCTGGACTTTCATCTTGTTCCAACATTTGAGTTTTGCAAGCCCATCCATTTTTCCAATTCCAGTTTCTTTTAAGAAAACAATTTGAAACTCAACCACATTCAACCTGCTGCTGGCTAGCCAAAGCTGCCAACAGTCTCTGGTTATATTTATGGTCTTGTTTATTTGCACCACTTTCAAAGCTAAAGTTTGGGTATTTGCGCCATCTCTGAGCTTAATGCTTTCTTCCTCAATGTCAGACCACTATCATTTATAGTTGTAAAATTTTAAGTATTTTACTTTGCTGAAAAGTACTGTACAGTTTTTGGGTTTGGATAGACCTGAAATGTGAAAATATTCCTCGTGTGACCATAGTGGCTTTAAGTTGTCTTCCTTTTTTTTATGGATCTGGCTTATTTATATGCAGACTGTTGATTCCTTGCCGCCCAAGCAAATACACTCCGACCTCAAAAGAAACTCCCCTAATTTGTCGCCTTTTAATGACACGCTCGTTGGGGCTGGGGCAATGGGCCTATTCTTTTTCTCCCCACAAAATAGGGCCCCAGAACCCACACAGGAAGTATGTTAGTAAATTTTTGAATTCTTCTTTTTCTTCTGTGTTTTCCCTCAAAAGGGTGCTCAGGATGTTGTTTACAGCTAGGCTGTGATATCTGCAGCTTTTAGCAACATATTTATGATTCCAGCAAACCCCTAATTAGTCTAAAAAATGCGGACACAAACAATAGATTGCATATTAGGTCGGCTTTGTGTCTGCTTTATTTAAATTTACAATCGGAAAACATTCTTTTGAAATTCTAATTAGTCATCGATTGGTAGAGGAGAAGACAGAGTCTCAATTCAACACAAATTGTGAGTAGAAAACAGAGAGAACAGAAAAGACGTGTACAAATATAACTGAATGTTTTGACCACAGTCTTTATCAACAGTCTAATGATGGAGAAATCCCAGGAATTGCAGAGGGTTCCCAGTATGTTGAGTTTACGGTCAAGAAGCCAGTTAAGCCTGGGAATGTAGAAAACGTATGTGTGTAATTTCATGTGTCTGAGTGAATGCTTGCAAGAAGAAACTCTTGAAATCAGAGTGAAGGATTGGATGCAAGAATGTAGGAAAGTCAATTGGTGTTGGACAGCAAGAGTAAGAGGTCCAGTCATGTGAGAGGAGTGACTGATATAAACTGTGATTGCTGACAATGTGAGGAAGTCCCTGGAAACAAGGAAGATGACTGAACAAAAAGTGATTCTGAATTGTAAGTTCAATCTACTTTGAAGATTTGTGGTGCTGTGTTTAAGATGCAGGCTGTCAGTGTAAATGGAACACATGTAATGAAAGGTAACTAAGTTTGAATTCAAGTTGTGGTCTTCCAATAGCAGTATTCATGACTGATCCTTAGAGCAGAGGTTCTCAAACTGAGTGCTGTGGTGAGAAATGTTTGAGAATCGCTGCCCTAGAGAGACACTGAGAACTCCAAACAGCGACTGGGCGATACATTTGTTGGAACAGCAATAAAAGATACCTTTATCAGAACGGTGTGTAATCGAAAGCTGTGTTCCTACTTACTTATTACCTGAATGGAGGGAAGACCAGAGTCACTATGCTTCTAATCAGAAACTAAGAATAACAACATTGCAAACAGAATACTAAATACAATGCAGGCTGTGATCAGAAAACTCAACATACAAGACAACAGAACCAAGGTCAACACAGTAGGGCATAGGAAAAGCAATGGACTTAGCTGATGTTAATGATCTCAGGGAGATAGGGCGAAAAGATGATTCAGATGCTGATAAATTGGTATCCTTGATAGAATAGGGTTCACCATTTTACATATAGCCAAAGAAGAATAATGATGAATGTTGAATTAAGAATCGACATCACAGAACTCGCAACACCCCCATAAGCTCTTCATCCCCATCTTCAGCAGCGAAGAGTTAATATTTCGATGGTACCAGTAACTGTCTGAACGTATACCCGTCTCGCCTTTAATAACCATAACAGAACTGGTGTTATCAGTCACCACACATGGAGGGAGATACTAAATGACAGGACCTGGGCACTTATGGATTTGTCAGCTGTACATTAAGGATGATCGGTCAATTAACTAAGTATAACAAGGTTACACATGAAACCAGAAATATGTACTAGGAGAAAATGTAAACATAAATGGCTACACTGAAAAAATATGAACATAAGGAGTTATGTTTTATTTTACTCGACTGCTGTCACTCCTGTTTACATCATGTTAGGGAACCATAGGCCTATCTGTCACTCCTGTTTACATAATGTTAGCGAACCATAGGCCTATCTGTCACTCCTGTTTACATAATGTTAGGGAACCATGGGCCTATCTGTCACTCCTGTTTTCATCATGTTAGGGAACCATAGGCCTATCTGTCACTCCTGTTTACATAATGTTAGGGAACCATGGGCCTATCTGTCACTCCTGTTTACATAATGTTAGGGAACCATGGGCCTATCTGTCACTCCTGTTTACATCATGTTAGGGAACCATAGGCCTATCTGTCACTCCTGTTTACATCATGTTAGGGAACCAAGGGCCTATCTGTCACTCCTGTTTACATCATGTTAGGGAACCATGAACCTATCTGTAACTCCTGTTTACACCATGTTAGGGAGCCATACTCCTGTTTAAATCATGTAAGAGAACCATAGGCCTATCTGTCACTCCTGTTTACATCATGTTAGGGAACCAAGGGCCTATCTGTCCCTCCTGTTTACACCATGTTAGGGAACCATGGGCCTATCTGTCACTCCTGTTTACATCATGTTAGGGAACCATGGGCCTATCTGTCACTCCTGTTTACATCATGTTAGGGAACCAAGGGCCTATCTGTCACTCCTGTTTACATCATGTTAGGGAACCAAGGGCCTATCTCTCACTCCTGTTTACATCATGTTAGGGAACCAAGGGCCTATTTCTCACTCCTGTTGACATCATGTTAGGGAACCAAGGGCCTATCTGTCACTTCTGTTTACATCATGTTAGGGAACCATGGATCCATCTGTCACTCCTGTTTACATCATGTTAGGGAACCATAGGCCTACCTGTCACTCCTGTATACATCATTTTAGGGAACCAAAAGCTTATTCTTTTTTCCCCCTACAATGAAGCACTGGAACATTGCTGGATCTTCTTTTCTCTTCATTCTTCCTGCCCGTGGTTTTCAGATGAGAAGGTCACAGACCTCTATGAAGTCTGTGGTGATTGCCTGTGGGGAAGGGGGGGGGGGGGGGGGGGGGGGGGGGGGGGGGGGGGGGGGGGGGGTGGGGCAGTGAGTCTTTTCTTGTTTCTTCTGAAATGGGGTCCTGGAATCCAAATGGGGGTTTAACCTTTCAATATCAATAAACGGCTATCCTCCGACTAACGGTCGGCAAAGATGGCGGCCGCAAAATATCCAGCTGAGCCGCAGTCATGTAGCGCTTCTGGCTACTTAATGTGTTTTCCGGCGACTATGGCTTCTGCCACGTGGCCCCCATGCCGCTCACGCGGCATGGATTGGGGCTAAACTAGATGGCTAGGACTCACGAGCAAGGTTGCAGGAGATGCGGAAGTTGCTGCTCATGAGTCCTAGCCATCTAGTTTAGCCCCAATCCATGCCGCGCTAGCGGCGTTTTGGCCACGTGGCGGTAGCAGTTGTTGGCGGAAAACCACAGGAAGACTGCAAATTAGGCATCTGGAAGAGGGCAATTGACACGTGACTGCGGCTCGGCTGGATATTTTGCGGCCACCATCTTTGCCGACCGTTAGTCGGAGGATAGCCCAATAAACTATACATCTGGTAGGAATTAAAAAAAATTTTTAAAAGATTTACCCGTCCTAAAGCTACAGACTCTGTACCAATCAACCGTCCCTGTTCCTTTACCAGTATGTCCTTCTTTGTGTCCTTTTCCTCTCTTCTGGACACAGTTAAGCTGTACTGCCTCCTGGTGGGTTTATTGTTGACAATACAATTATGAATATGGCCATCTGATTGCCTCTAATGTTGCATATAGAGTTAAGAAAATGATAGCCTTGACATAAAAACAAACACTATTGAAGATGCCTGAGTACTATATTTTAGAAAGTATGAGATGATCTAAAAATACAGTATTTTCAAAATTAGGAGATTATCTAATCATACATTTTAGAATGTATGAGGTGATATAAAAGAATAACATTTTAAAATGTATGAGATGATCTAAAAGCACTTTTGAAGGATATGAGATGATATAAACATACTGTTTTTTTTAAATTTAGAATGTATAAGAAGATCTACAATACTATAGTTTACAATGTATGAAATTATTTAAAAGTACTATATCTTAGAATGCACGAGATGATCTTAAGTACCATATTTTAAAACATATGAGATGTTGTAAAAGTACTATATTTTAGAGTGATATGAGATGATCTAAAAGCACTTTTAAAGTTGTATGAAATGAATAAACATACTGGTTTTTTTTTTACATTGTATAAGATGATCTACAATACTATGGTTCATAATGTATGAAATTATTTAAAAGTACTATACTTTGAAAAGATGTACTATTTTGTAGAATGTACGTGATGATATAAAAGACTTCATTATAGAAAGAATGAGATTATCTAAAAGTACAATATTTTAGAAAGAATGACATGTAAAAGTAACATATTTTAAAAAGTATTAGAATATCATAAAGTACTATATTTTAGAAAGCATGAAATGATCTAAAGATGCTATATCTAAAAGACTTCATTATAGAAAGTATGAGATTATCTAAAAGTACAATATTTTAGAAAAAATGACACATAAAAGTAACATATTTTAAAAAGTATTAGATTATCTTAAAGTACTATATTTTATAAAGCATGAAATGATCTAAAGATGCTATATTTTAAAAAGTATGAGATGGTCTAAAAGTACATTTTATATAATGTATGAGATGATATAAAAGTACAACATTTTAGAATGTATGAGATGATCTAAAAGTACTATATCTTAGAATGCATGAGATGATTTAGGCATACTATGTTTTAGAATGTATGAGATGATCTAAACACACTGTTTCAGAATGTATAAAATTACATAAAAGTACAATATTTTATCATGTATGAGATGATCTAAGTCTGCTATTTCAGGATGTATGAGATGGTCAAAAAGTACTATCTTTTAGAATGTATAAGATTATCTAAAAATACTATATTTAAGAATGTATAAGATCTAAAATGACTGCATTTTAGAATGTATGAGATGAGCAAAAAAAAACTACATTTTGGAATCTCAAAGTATAACATTAAAGAATGTAATGGTTGATAGAAAGGTAACATATGTAGAAAATAAATGATTAAAATGTGAAGACACTGTTCACCTCCTTCTTCCAGTGGTAGTTTCATCCCCAGAGGTAGCAGCATCTGAGGTCAACATCTCGATTCTCCCCCACATGCTGTCCTTGATAGCAGCAACTGGAAGAGCACAAGACACCTCAACATTACCTCATACAGTAAATATTGTCTCATAAACTCTATCATCAACATCTAGATTCTCCCCCATATGCTGTCCTTGATAGCAGCAACTGGAAGAGCACAAGACACCTCAACATTACCTCATACAGTATATATTGTCTCATAAACTCTTAGCGATTTTAAAGCCAGTGATTAAAATAAAGGAATGTACAAGGTCCTTTTTCACAGCTTTGACCCACTGAATATATAGTAAAGCAAAGAACCCTTCACAACACCTTCAGGCATATTGAGTATTTAGAGCTCGACCTATATTTTATATTTCAATAATGCGGACACAAAAAATACATTGCACAATTTATTGCCTGGCATATTTGGTTGTATCTCATCAGGTGTGTTACTACAGAGCTAAATCAACATATGATGAAGCACAAAATGCATCCTTTTCTTGTTGAAATTGTGCAATGTATTGTTTGTGTCCACATTATTTAAATTTACAACAGGAAAACAGTGTTTTGAACTTTGAATTTTATAGACCAATCGGTACTTAGTAGGTGATGTGGTCAGCATCACGCCTGCTACCTTTACTTCCCAGGACTCCAGCTGGTACCCATTTAAGGTTGGGTCAAAAAAGTATATTAGCCTCAGTACCTGAACACAGGACCTTCCGATCCACAGGCAAGCATCTAGCTGCTAGGTTCCAATAGGTTCCTGTGGCTGCCTTGATCTGAGTTTTATTTTCCTCAGCCAATAAATTTAGGTTATCATTCTTTCTCATTGTAGTCTTGTAGTCTTAGTTTCAGCTTTATAGCAAACGGGTCACCCCATTTTTTGCTCCCCTTCTGTGCCAACGAAAAACACACAGAGTGTTTATCACAGTCCTGTGTGTACAGATTGACAGACTGCTGTTTCAGCATATCTAGCATACACACGCATTAAAGCATATTGTAGCCATCCAAAGGGCTAACACAAACAGTCTAACATTAGAAATGCACTTCATCATTGATGGTAGCAGGAATCACCAACAGATCAGCAGTTGCCCACGCGATCAATTTTAATTACATACGGGCACCACCAACATTGCGATGACAGGCATCCAGCTATTTTCTGAATCTACAATTCACAATTCACACCATCACATTAGTCACAGTCAAAAAAACATTCCAAATGAAATCCGCAACTCACGCCATGCATTCAACTCAGAAGCTGGGCGACAAAACTATATCCAGTCTACAACTGGAGCAAAACTTAATTGGCCACCATCTGACAGAAGCAAAAAATTTGCCTCGGTTACAAACAGTGCCCCCGCCTAGCGTCCATTTTGACCGGAAGTTCTCTTTCTTATACATGGACTGTCTGGAAGAAGACTTCAGATGGTAAGGTTTCATCCAAAGATGATAGGTATTTCACTGTCAACATTCCATGCTGGTGGTCAAGAGGAAGTTGAAAGTTTTGTCTACTCACTTTCTGGATCCTCCTCTTCTTGACAGCCTTCAAGTTGCTCCTGTGTCAGGTACATCTTTAGGAATTCCGCAAAAGCCCCGTCATGATCAAGCAACTCTTCATATGTTCCCAACTCACTTATCTGCCCCTCATCCATGACAACAATCAAATCAACTTGGGGCAGGAAATGAACTGCGTGGGTTACCAAGATCCGAGTCTGACAGAGATAAAAACAAAATTTTTTTTTTTCAGATAAAAAATTTAATAAAGGCAAACAGTAATTAAATATTTAAACCACAAAATTTTTTTTTTATTTTTTAATTAATTTAAAAGGATCACAAAATGGGTATGCAGATCAGGTTTACCTAAAATATGGTTCTTCATAAACTAATTTTTCAAAAGTAATTATAATTTACGTATTGTGCCTGTTAGTAAAACTGTGGGGTACCCAACCAGGAAAAATCAGTAATACATTTTTACATTTTCTTTTTTATTTTAACTTATTTACATTTACATATTTAATTAGCCTGAACTAACAGCTGTTTAGCATATAACGAGTTTAAACAGTGCCAACATGGAACTGAAATAGTCAAGTATGTCCAATTATTTATTGCATGTTCTTTCCTTACACAGAAGTCTACCCCTAATCATTTATACTGCTGAAGATTTCAACATTTGAAAATTATTGAATAACGGTGTACTAGATGTCAGACAGTCTACCCTCTCTGAGGCACATGTTAGGGATTATTCGTGGTAGTTATTTCCCCTCTTTGTTGTTTGCAAGGGGGAAAAAAAATGCTTGATGAGAGCAAACATCATGGGACCCCAATATAGCTAAGCTATATGACTAGATGGTTAAACAGGGTGTACAGGATTTGAAACTGTGTGATTCTGATCCTTGAGATGACCCACAGAAACTATTAAATTAAAAAAAAAAAAACAACTCATGCATGCCACCAAGGAGAAAACATCATGGGGGGGGGGGGGGGTTAAAGGAGATAAAAATTTTTGTTTGTTAATACAGGTACAATTCTTTTTATTTTTTTCTTAGTAGATTTCAGACAATATTGAATGTATAAACAAATGCCTAAAATAAAAAAGAGAACATCTAAATGAGGTGTATGTGGGCAGGGGAACTGCTCCCTTTAAAGAAATATGGTGGAAGGAGGGGGGGGGGGGGGAGCTCTAACGTACTTAAGCCCATCAGTTCAGGCATCTATGATGAGAGAACTGTTGTATATGTATTCTGCACGAATAAGAGAATGGGAAATAGCTGACTAGATGAAGCTGGCTGTTTGGATATCAAGTAAATGTAGTTTTCAAGTAAATGGCCGTCAAAGTTGTCAAAAGAAAAATGGTTGTCAAGCTGAATCTACTGTTAAGTTTAATTTCTTTGCAACTGAACAGCCCAAAATCTTCTGAAGACATAGCTTTTATATCAATTACCTTGCTTTTTAGCAGCCCTCTGGGACCAAAGACTTTGTCAAACATGGCTCGACCAACATGGGCATCGACAGCACTCAGGGGGTCATCCAGAAGGTAGAGATCACAGTCCTGGTAGACTGCCCTGGCAACTGATACACGCTGTTTTTGTCCTCCAGATAAATTTATGCCCTGTCAAATATACATATATGTGAATCATAGACGGATACATCTATACCATATACAATACACATTTGCTCTGTTACCCTTTTGCCTTTAGATTGCTGGGAACACTACAAACAACAAAACAACAAAACACAAAGGGTCATGACCCCACTTGAACTCCAGAAAAAATACATGAAACAAAAACAATTTTACACATGTCATTAATAAATTTTTAAATAATTTATTTATCTGCAACTGATTTTTTTTTTTAAATACATAAAGACGTATTAAAGGGGTAATCAATAAACATGAACAAGGTGAAGTTTTAATGGAATAAATTCCTGGGAAACTTATACAATTTTTATTGGGTGACTTATACAGTGTCCTCATGACCTTTTTCAATGAGGCTTACTGGAAAATTTGAAGTCAACTTGTTATTTTTTTTTTTAAATGTTGTATTTTGAAAGGACACAATGCTATTTTGAGTTAACTTTCTTATCCCCTGACATCCTAAACATTTGCACAGATGTGGTTAGTGATTAGTGATTAGAAAGGATTATCATCACAGCCCTCCGGACAGATCCACAGGTGCTCCGATCTCTTCCTCAAAAGTTCCACAAGTGTATCAAGGCTGATGATGCCTGTTCTGTGTTGGTTAATGAAACATCTTGTCCCCTTAGTGAAATATTCATTTCTTGCAGCTCCAGGCTGCACCCCCATATCCATCAGGGATATGGAATCATGTCCTTTGGCGTGCTCCTCGGTACAGTAAGTGTAGTGCATGGCATTTATAACATCACTTCTGTCCAGTACTGGACCAGCCATAGCAACCGCAGTGTCAGCAAGATAGTCTGCATGCTCATTTCCTTGAACACCCGCATGACCTGGCACAAAGATGAAGGTTAGGGCAGCTATTCGTGAAGTGCTTAGTGTTGCAATCCATTGCACAGATGTGAATACAGCTAATAACAGTAACTATGCACCTCATACAGGCCTCTATAAACAAGTCAGAAAAGTGAAATTTATTAGTTTATTTATGTGTCAGAGCCTGATAACTGGAAGAGATATTTTCTTCCAGTGTCCTCAACAAACTATTGCAAAGAGATGCAAGGATTGTCTGTATGCTCCTTCTCATGTGCTGTAGCTGTCCGTATGAGGGCATTAATGTCAGATGTTTAAACCCTTTAATCTTTTGCTCTTTAATGAATTTTGATGGGAAGCTATCTTCTTTTCTTTTCTTTTTTTAATCTCACTGATAATGGGTTGTAGCCAAGTGTCGTGGTTTTCTGTACCTATCTTGTGCTTCTCAGGTGGCTTGAATAATGGATTTGTTCCTTTTTTTTCAGGTTTCAGCTACATCATTTATCCATATGTTTCTTGGTCTTCCTCTCACTTTCCAGATGTTCTGCTGTAAAAAGTCTCATATGTAGTCTGGTCTGGCTGCATTCTCACTAGATGGCAGAACCATTTCATTCTTTGTCTGTCAATATAATCCAGACATCGTCTTATTCCGACTTTCTCTCTGATGCTGGTATTCGTAACCCTGTCTTGTCTAGTGTGATGGGAAGCTATACCTTTATGAAAATCCAGTAAATTTCCTTGTTTTACTTGAATTTTATAATATTAAAAAAATTAGACAAACCCTGGCCAAATAGAAAAGCTGATAAGAAACAAACGTGTCATGCAAAAACTAAAAATAAATTCACCCAACAATAGCCAGAAAGCCCAACAAAGTGGGAAGGAAAAAAACAAGACACAGAAACCAACGAATATTTCGGTCATCACCTTTATCAATGGACACCAAACATAGGGAAGTTATCTAGAGACAGAGGGAAGTAATGTGAGTAAATGTACCAGAATAGGAAAAATAGGAAGAGGAACACAAAAAAACCACACACAAAACAAATAATAATAAAACTTGTAGTAATAAGATAATACAGTATCAGTATTAATGAGGATGTGCAATTGTGTGCCAGGGAACTGCAAGATTATACAAGAATGTATGGAATAACCATCAGCATGAGCAATCCAGTTGTCTGACCTTTTCTCCAATCTCTGTCTGGTCTCCTGCACTGAGTATTGTCAGATCTCTCTCCAGCTCACAAGCAGACAAGACAGTCTTGTATTTCTTCTGCCTGAATGTCTTGCCAAAGAGAATATTGTCTCTAACTGTGGCGTTCTGTATCCATGCTTGCTGAGGTACATAGGCCAAGCTGCCCTGTTAAAGAAGATTTTCTTGAGTAAGCTACATCTCAGAAAGGTATCTTTTTCTCTTTCTTAGCACTCACCATCTGTAAACTTCAGTGGAAAGTTCTGGTTGTTTGTCCATTTCTGAACTTCAGCCTTCTTCCAGAATTGGAGTTTTGTGTGCATATTCATTTTATAGATCTGACTTACTTATATGCAGACGCTCAGGCAGATGCACTCTGACCTTAAAGGAAACTCCCCTAATTAGTTACCTTATATGACATGCTTGTTAGGGAGGCAGTGGGTCTATTCCCCATCCCCAAACCAATCCCCACCACCACCATCCTAAATGTGGCCTCGAAACCCACAGAGGGAAGATATGGATGAAATGTTCGAATACAGAATTATGTAATCCTATTTTTACAAATTTAAAACAATGCATGTCCTGAATCATATACTGTGTTATAGATCATGAATGTGCGAGTTTTGGTTATAGTTTCAAAAAGCCAGTTATAGTTATAAAACATTTGATAATAGTTCAGAAATGCACTAATCTGTGAAAATACATATATTAGAACACAATCCTCCAACACTGTCAACTGTATGCTGACAACAGAGATGCAATCTGGCCTGTTGCAACCACAATAAAGACAAAGCTGTATGGTACACAAGAGGATATGGACTGCAAGATAGCTTTCATAAAGGCTACCGGCCTCCTGATATAAGTTTTCTAACAGAAAGACAGAAGAAGAAGAAGAAATAGGGACAAGTTTAAATGAGAAAGTAGTTTTTTTCAAAAGGCAGTTTTTATTGCTTTTTTTAAACCTTTCATATTTTTTTTTACATAAGAGTCACCCTGAGCAGAGTGTATGTGGCGAGAGAGAGAGAGAGCTGGTGAAGGAGCAAGTTTCTTTCAGGCATCTGTGCTGGGGAAACTCTCTACAGAGAACCCGCAAAATTATTATGATGATATAATTTAATTAGCTGCAGTGATTTGATCTGTATTATAGATTTTACATCATACTGTATTTTATTTATTACTAGGACTAAAATCCATGGTACATTTCGTGATAAGAGACCTAACAATGAGAGTGACCTCCCTTTCCATTGATGCCTCAATCTGGTGAAGAGCCTCTACTATTTTCCAGGGGTTTTAGCTGTACTGAGTCGTATTTTACTTTGTCAGCGGCCAGCGATATCGCATCTTCTATACTGTGAGCGCTTTTAACAGTCCCAAAACATGTACAACTGGGCCTAACCCCAACTGCCCTAGTCCACAGCCTCAGCCTATATCTAACGACTGTATGCAGCCTCTATTAAATGCGGCATACAGACATGCGACTTAGGATGCACACCTGCAGCATAGTAGAGGCCTACACCAGATCAAGGCATCCCAATGAGAAGGGAGGTCACTCTCATCGTTGGGTTTCTTAACGTGACTAGAACCAAATCTATATATAGAATGGTAAAGAATGCCCATGGCATCTCTGAATAAGTTTCGCCTAAAGATAAAATTGAGAAAAATAATGAATTATTCCATACTAGGGAACAACAAATCCACAAAGTTAATGAGACAATGTTAGTACAATTGTCTAATTATTCATAGTAAAATTTCTTTCATAAAAACAACACAAATCAAAGCAAAATGTGAAACAATACAAATTACAATTTGGTCACATAAATATTAACATGAAATAGGAATTTAAAATAACAAATATATATACTCTGAGAACTCAGTTAACACTATATATTCCAATTATAACCCAGAGGGTTGAACAGGATATTTCTGAAAAATCACTACTACTGTTACATCATACTGGATACTTGCCACTCTGGGATTATTGTTGTTATCCTAATATATTAACTGGCATATGCTAGTCAAACAAAGGTCTCATCTGGTTGGTAATTGAGCACCAATGGAGAAACTTTGCATACATAGCAAGATACAGAATCACTGAATTTTTTTTATATATATATATATGAAAAATACCTAAAATACCTTTTCTTAAAGACATGAAACAAATATTTTTAAATATACCTTCACAGCCACAATTCCTGCCCTTTTCTCCATGTCACCTAAGATGGAAGAAATGAGGGAAGACTTGCCAGCTCCTACAGGTCCAACAACAGCCACTAACTTCCCTTCTGGGATCTGCAGGTTGATGCTGAAGTACACATTCCCACACACATCAGAAACAGCTTTAATACACATTTCAGACATTCCCACACACATCAGAAACAGCATTAGTACACATTTCACACATTCCCACACACATCAGAAACAGCTTTAGTACACTTTTAAGACTTTCCCTCACATCAGAAACAGCTTTAGTACACATTTCAGACATTCCCACACACATCAGCAACAGCTTTAGTACACATTTCAGACATTTCCCACACAAATCAGAAACAGCTTTAGTACACATTTCAGACATTCCCACACATCAGAAACAGCTTTATTACACATTTCAGACATTCCCACATACATCAGAAACAGCTTTAGTACACATTTCAGACATTCCCACACACATCAGAAACAGCTTTAGTATGCCTTTCACACATTCCAACACACATCAGAAACAGCTTTAGTACATGGCAACAGCACTAGCCAGGCAGCCCTAAACCCTCAGACTCAATGCTCCCCCGTCTACACCGACCCAACAAGTGGTAAAACATACAGCAGTGACAGTTTTTAGATAAACACAATTGGCTGTGGTGTACCAAGTGTCAGCTGAGTTACATTTGTTTTTTTAAATTAGATTGTAACTATCTCCAAGAAAGAAGCAACAGTGTGTAGATACTTTGAAAATGCAGGAGACAGAATGCTGTTGAAAAGTTCCATCACCACATGACATGGACTATACACACACAAAAAGATGAAGCGTGGATACTGACTTCTTGAGTGTGGCTGGTGATGTGGTGTCCCAGGACAGGTCAGCGTCCTTGAAGCTGACGGCAAACTCTAAGGGGAAATAAGAGTCTTGTCAGGCAATTTTATTCTTACACTTGCAACTACAATCAGCATCAACATGTCATTTTGATAGGGTGAAGCACTAACAAGATAGGAAAAATAAGAAAGAAAAGAGTTAGAGGTTAGGATTGAAGAAGTGAGGATTGAAGAAGAAAGGATTGAAGAATAAAGATCTAGGCAAGGATTGATGAAGAAAGAATTAGGATAAGGGTGAGGATCGAAGTATACAGAATTAGGATCAAGACAAGAATTGAAGAAGAAAGAATTAGGATCAAGGCAAGGATTGAAGAAGAAAGAATTAGGATCACAGTCCCATGTTAAGGTGAATAGTACAAATCGCAGAGGTAGTCTGAATATCCAAGACCCAAAGTTTAGATCCCTAACTGGTTAGTACAATGAACAAGGAAGATAGCAAAGATTTCATGTTTTATGAATAGTTAACATGCAATAGCCGGATTTAGGCTTTAACTCTTTGAGTCCCAAGAAACGCATCATACGTTCATAGGTTCCTACCTAGAGGCCCAATAAACGCAAGATGCGCCGATTTTACATCTCTATTGACTACCCCTTGGGCCTCTGATGTTAAACCCCCTGGGACTCAAAGAGTTAAAATAATGAAAAATTGTATCTCATACTGGGACTGGAAGCATTGTATGTAAAAAGCTGGGGATGGTGATAGTGACCTAAAAAGTTGAACAGGGTTTCTAAGACTTGTGCCGGGATGATTCTCATCCGAATGGTGGCATTTTGTGTCACTGGGAGTTGCCCGTTCATTACACGGTGATCCTGATGGGGTTGAGCAAAACACATACACACCATCCCCAGCCTTGAATGGGAACCAGGTAAAGTCCTGGGAAGTAAAGATAATCCTATGATGCTGACCACATCACTCACCAAGTGCTGATTGCTCTAAAAAATATAGGTCTAGCCTTATATGCCCCGGGAGTCCTCGTGGCGGAGTGACTAGATGGTTGTCGTGGATCGGAAGGTCGTGGGTTTCGCTTCCTGGATGAGCCAGACTTTTTAAAAAATGATCTTGGCTCTCAGGTCAACCCGGCCTTGAGTGGGTACCAGATCAGTCCCGGGAAGTAGAGGCGGCCGGCATGATCTTGAACACATCACCCATCTTGTGTCAATTGGTCTATAAAAATATAGGTCTAGCCCTATACGCCTTAAGGCGTGGAAAAGGGGTCTTTTCTTTACTTTTTACTTTAGTTATATGCCCCATACATCTGAAGGCACGGAAAAGGATCCTTTACTTCTGTCTTTACTATCAAAAGGAAAACAAGAGTTATACTTCTATACTTTTTTCAGTCACAAAGTTTTCTGAATTTAGTACTTCGTTGATAAAGACTTTGGTCGAAACGTTCAGCTGTATTTGTGCATGTCTTTTCCATTTCCTCCATTGGCTTTCTAGATCCATTTAATGTGGTATTTAGCACTTCATATTTGTATAGACCAATCAACACTTGTTGGCAGACACTGGACAGATTCTGTATGATTGCAGCTGGCTGTCAGGTCGACCCAGTCTACATTGGGCACCAGGTAATGAAAGCCAACTGGTCCATAAAATCAAGGGGCCAGACCATACACCTAAAATCTCCCAAGGTCACCGCGGGAATCCCTGGGCCGCATTTTTAGAAAAAAAAGAAAAGACCCACCACCCCAACAAGTGTGTCGTAAAATGCTAATTAGGGATATTTCCTTCAAAGTCACAGTGCATCTGCCTGATACGCCAGGAACCAACAGTCTGCATAAAAATAAGCCAGACCTGCAAAACAGATGGGCATGCAAAACTCAAGTTCTAGAACCAGATTACAATCCAAAAATGGATGAACAACCAGAACTTTCTGGTGGGGTTTTACTGCCAGTGAAGTTGTAGAAGAACAGGACGTAGGAGTAGATAACCTTGATCATAATAACCTACCTGAATCTGTCAACTTGAGAACAGTGTCTTTGTCTATCTCCTCGTACAGAAGAAATTCATTTATTCTTTTTGCCGACACATACGCCTGGACAGAGAAATGCCACTTATTTATCATCAGCAACAAAAAATATTTAAAAAAAAAAAAATTGCAGAAAAATAAAACAGTATTTCAGTCTTGAGATCAGATATTTGAATTTACAATTATGAATGTTTTGAAGGATAAAAGAATTCAGCCCCATTTAGTTATTCTTGTTCATCTTCTTCTTGTAGTCCCTGTCATCCTGTGTTAGTAATCATGTCTGTTACTAAACTTCACATTTTAAATTCTAATGTCAAATCAGTTCTGCTGTATGGAGTAGGAACATGTAGAACAGCAAAAACAATTACCAATAAACGATGATTATAAATTAACTGGTGCCTGGGAAAAGAGGGAATTAAATGGTATGATATAATCACTAATGTTGAGCTTTGGGAAAGAACTAAAAAATTTCCAGTTAATCAAGAGGGGAAGAAAAGATACTGGCACTGGATTTACTTAGAAAACTAAACCTAAGAGTATTATAACTAAAATGTCTTTGCATTGGAACCCACAGGGTCGCAGAAAAAAAAGGCAGACAAAAAATGCACATAGAGAAGGGAGATAGGGAATGAGACCAGGAGGACATGGGAGAGAGCTACATGCAATAGTGAAAAATAGGACCGCTTGGAGTGAGTTGGTTGAGGGCCGATGCTCCATTTGTGGATAAAAGGCAGAAGGAGAAGAAACCATGTCCACACAACCTTCTGTGAAAGGTCTACACAATGATGCCAAACTAACATTTCTCTCTTAGTTACGGGTAGTGAGCATACTTTGGATATTTTCTCCAGGCCATGCCAGCGTGGTGGGTAATGAACAGGCACACAGTTTGGCTGAATCTGTACCACTGGGTGGTGAATTGATACATGACAAGGCAGATGTGGTCAAGGCCCTTTGGAAACAAGCAACGGAATCAGTAGAGAAAGAAGATTATGGGGGCTGGAGAGAATAAGGCACCTGGGTGTAACCAGAGGGTCTGGCTGGCTTACTACACTCAGAGAAAAGGCAAGATGGACATATAACCAGATTGTGATCAGTACCATCAGTATTGAAACTCTGCACTGGCTGCTGAAGATGAGGAGGAGCCTGCATGGGAATGCCCCGAGTGCTGTGATGTCAATTCTGGACTCAACTCAGCTCATCTCTCATTGTCTTCCACTGCTTCTCTTCCCCTGCAACTTTCCTGTTGCCATGTCATACATAACTTTCTTCTTATCTCTCCTTCAGATCTTTGTATTCAGTTCTCTTGGTATACCCATGGTATTCCTGATAGATGCAGGAGCGGTACTTCAGGCACACGGATCAGCAAATTTACCTGGTATGCAAAAACTACTCTCTGAACTGGGCAACCAGTGCAAGGTAGCTAGGAAATGGATACCATCCCACTGTGGAGTTTCCAGAAATGAAAGAGCTGATAAACTAGCTAAAGAAGATGCAAATGAAGAACAACCTGATGCACCAGTCTCTTATCAACAGAAGAAGAGAATAATCAAATAAATCAGAAAGCCACCAAAACTGGCAAAAAATGATTACAATATAACTGGACAGACCAAAGCAAGTCATTTTTCTACACCTTAGAACCAGACACAACCCACTTCACAGCCACATTTACATAAAATTTAAAATGGGTGAATCAGCCATGTGCATATGTGGATTAGCACCTGAGACAACAGATCATGTCCTCCAAGACTGTCCCAAATACAACATATCAAGGCAAAACTTTTGGCCAAGAGAAACACCGGTGCAAGCCAAACTTTACGGATCGATGACTGAGTTACAAAAGACAGTGAAGTCAAAACTAGAGATGGCATTGCAGCTATAGATAATCTATTTCAAGCAAATGAATGAAGAAGAAGAAGTTTTCTTGGTGAGTTAATTATTTCAATACATCATTAAACAATTTTTCTCAATCTGTCCATGGTGTTTTCATCATCCTACTAAACCCTGTCTGCAGATGCCACATAGTTTTAGACTAATCTGGCAACTCTGAACAAAGAATACATATATACAATAGACTGCACAATTTATTGCCTGCCATGTGTCACTGTATCTCGTCAGGTGCATACTACAGTCTTCTTCTTTTGTCAAAATCTGCTTGTGCCGCTAGGCGTCGCAGTCTATCAGATGATCGGCAACCGAGCCAGGGCGCGCTCAGTCGCTTCATATGCCGTGATGTTATGAAGTCTCACGTTGTCCGTGACTCCTTCAATCCATCTTCTTCTTGGTCTTCCCCTGCCTCTTGTTGTTTCGATTTTCATGTTGTATTCTCTTGATGCTGGCATCGTTGGTTCCATTCTCATTAGGTGACCAAACCATTTCATTCTTTGCTTCTCAATAAATTTAACGATGGGTATGGTTCCAATAGTTCTTGTGATCACATCGTTTCTCACTCGATCTCTTCTGGTTTTATTCGCAGCCATTCTCAAACATCTCATTTCACAGGTGGTTAGTCTTCTTTCATGTTCTTTTGTTAATGTCCAAGTCTGACATTGATAACCTAATGTCGGTATAAAGATTGTATTTATAATTTGTCTTTTATCTCAGCTGGGACAGCAGGGTGTTTTAAAATTGGGGCAAGCTGGTATGCGACATTGTTGGCTTGTTGGATTCTTGCTTCAATCTCTCTGTCTATTTTACCATTGGATGTAAAGATACTTCCCAGGTATTTAAATTCTTGCACTTGTTTTAGGCTGTGATCTAGAATCTTTATGTCGATGGTCTGTTGCTCTCTACTTATGCTCATGACTTCTGTCTTTTTCAGTATTGATCTTCATATGATGCTTGAGGCAACTGTCGTGTAGTAGGTTCATGTGGTCTTGCAGCTGTTTACTATCACTGTGAAATATGCATTGATCGTCGGCAAAGAGCAGCTCATTGAAGTCCTCCTGTTTATCGACATCTGTTAGTGTTATGTCTATTTTATTAATATTGTCCATAAATATTATGAAAAGTAAAGGTGATAATACACAACCTTGTCTTACTCCTGATGTTACTGGGAACCAGTCTGTGATGCCAGCTCTTGTTCTAATGGCGCTTTCACTTTGTCTATAAATAGCCCTAACACAATCTAAAATTGTTCCATTTATACCGTAGTTTTCAAGAACTTTCCATAATAAATTTCTGTTTACTCTATCGAAAGCTTTTTCTTGATCTATGAAAGCGATGTTCATTTGATGTCTGTGTTCTATTGTCTTTTCGCTAACTTGTCTTAAAGCAAAAATAGCGTCAGTACACCCCTCTTCCTTTTCTAAATCCGACCTGTGATGGGCTCAGGATCGGTTCTACAACGGATCTAATTTGTTGTTCCAGAATTTTTGGCAAACATTTTTCCTACGTGGCTTAGAAGGGAGATGCCTCTGTAATTGTTACAATCTTGCTTATTGCCTTTTCTTTTCCAAATTGGGACTATAAGAGCTCTTTGCCAGTCTATTGGTACAGTTCTTTCATTCCAGGCTTTCCTAAAATATGTGGAGTAGCCAGGTGACTCCAATTTCTCCACAAGCCTGTATTGCCTCGGCTGATATTCCATCAACACCTGATGCCTTATTTTTGGCACTGCATCTGATTGCTTCTCTGACTTCTTGTTCGATTATTGTAGGCTGTTCCTCGTTTGTACATCTGGGTGTGAATGGTACTGTTTTCCTCATTTCCTGTTACATTCAGAAGAGTCTGAAAATATTCTTTCCACCTTTCTCTGATCTTGCCCTCCTCATGTATGGGTTTGCCTTGACTATCATTGACATATTCAGATGGCTGGAATGGTTCATCTCTAGTCTTCATTTTTGCAATGGTTTTGTAAAACTGTCTACTAGATTTAGCACAGATTTTGGTAAGATTTTCCCCATACATGATCCAGGATGTTTCCTTGGATTGTTTAATTTCTCTTGCAGATTGTCGCCTGGCAATTCTGTACTTGATATAATCGTCATCTGAGCGGGATCTTAGCCATTTCTTGTATTGCTCCTTTTTACATTTCACTGCTTGTTTTACGTTATCATTCCACCATGCTTTTTTTTTCCTGAACGTTCCTCCTGTGTATCTAATACCACAGAGTGTTGTTAGGCAGTTCAGAAGAGTGTTCTTAAATTTTTGCCACGCAGCTTCCACATTGTCACTTGATGTTATTAGCTCAGCCATCTTCGCCGTCATTTCTGCCTGTACTTTTGCTTGGTTGTCTAGATTGCTTAAGTGTCTTATGTCAATCATTGAGGTACGTACTGATGTTTTTGGTTTTTTGTTAATTGTTGCTTTGCTTAGATATACGATCAGTGGTCGATGGTCTGTATTTAAAGAGATGTTAGGAATTACTCTTGCGTCTTTTACTAAGCTTCTTCTCTTTTGTCGATTTAGTATGTAGTCCAACTGTGCGGCCTGGTCTGGGTTGCTCCATTTATACCAGGTATTTATTTGGCTTTGTCGATGCTGATAGAAACTATTGGTGACATAAAGGCCATGCTCTGCACAAAGTTCTAAAATACGCTGCCCGTTATAATTGCAGACTTTGCTGTTGTCTGAGTGTGGCCCGATATATTCCTCCTACGGTGTTCGCCTCTGCCCTATATGCCCATTTAGGTCACCTATTACCATAAGATCATCATTTGCGTGTATCTGACTGATGACATCCGACACTGAGTCAAAGAAGTTATCTTTCTCTTCCAAGGTGTAACCATCATTGGTGGGTGCGTATACCTGCACAATGCTTATATTTCTTGTTTTCCCGTAGAGTTGCAACACTATAATCCTTTCAGATACATATTCTATATTCTTTACATGTTTAGCGATATCCGGATGGAGAATAAAACCGACTCCGTGAGTCGCTCTCTGCTCTTTCTTAACGCCGCTCCAAAATATGACATAGTTGTTATGAATTTCTTTTGTTATGTTGCCTTTTTTCCTGCAATCTGATATTCCCATTATATCGATCTTATGTTTCATCATGAATTCTACTATTTCTGGTTCTTTATGCATACTACAGTAACATTTAAATAAAATGAAGCAAATAAATAAATCCTTTACAACTGAAAAACAAATTCAACCACTCTCAAAAACAACTTCTTGTTTTACCAGGGCAAGGGAAGGTTCACCATCATTTGTTCCTATTTACAAAGTTCTGTATAGAGGTAATGGAAAGTGGTGGCTTCAGTAAATCTAAATATTCCACTGTTTGTGTCTTCTTTGTTAAAATATATAATGAGGAAACATTGCTGTGATAATCTGTTAACTGTCCATGATTTACTTCAACACATCAAGAGTAGCTCCACATAACTCTAAGAACTTTCTCAATTGACAAAAAGAGACTGCACAAAATATTTGTCATCCTATAAAATTATTATCATTATTACTTGATACATTAGTTGACAGGTCATCATCAGACTGAATCAATAAATCCATAAGTGCTCAGATACCTTCCTCAGTATCAATCAATCAGTCAATCAATCGGGTGCCTTCTCCGCAATGAAGGTTGGCTGCAATGGATCTCCAACAAGCTATTGTCTTAGTTGTACACTCTCTCAAACTGCTTTTCATGCATCTTTTGGTGATGTTCGTGCACTTATATCGCTGTCTACATTTAGCTTTCTTAGACTTAACCTTTCCCTCCAGTATGGTTTTAAAAAGAATGTTTTATCTTTTAATGTGACAGAAATATTTCCATTGTCTCTTTTTTATTTCTCTCTGTAACTCTTTACTCATTCTGTATATCTCCTGACATTTAACAGCTAATATATTTTAATACCAGCTTTGATCAACAATCAAAATAAAGATAAAATATATTATGTTTAAACTTACTTAAGGGTAACTCAGCAATCCATAATACGTGCATTACCTACAATTATGAATTACCTGGGCAGCCATTGAAATCAGTGATGACAACATGTCCAGTGGCATTCTCAGAATACTTATAAATGATAAGGTCATAAATGCATTTCCTGGGTCAAGGTAATTAGCACGATCAGTCAAGGTGAAGGTCGCAAATATGGCTAAAGTTACCTAGGAAACAAAATTCTTATAATAAAGACAATTGTAACTGTTTTATTTTGATATGTGACAATGGATTGGAATCTGTTGACAATTAAAAAAGAAAGACACATGTACAGGTTAGAATTAAATTTTTTCCCTGACAGAATACAATCCAAAATCCTACAGAGGATTCAAACCTGGCTCTTCCCAGCTGCACTAATTGCATGAAAAAGGTCATTTTACTTTTTTGTTGTTGTTGTTGCTTTTGTTTGTTTTGTTGTTTTGTTTGTGTCAGTGTTTTAAATTGAAAAGTGTCTTCTTTTTTCTTTTTCTCTACTCCTGGAATGACTCACAGCATCAGGGCTGGAATAGATCTCTGGAATGGGCCCCTTCTGTTTGCTTCCTATTTAGTTTTTTTCAATGTCTCTGATATTTCCACAGTACATCTTCTGCAATGTCGACTGCTGGCTCTGTTACCTCTGTATCTGTTTAGTTAGTTAGTCAAGGTTTCAACATCACCGCAATTGGGTTTTCCCATACTTGCTAAGTTCCTATGCCAGTGCAAATCAAATGAAATGTTCCCCATGAGGGTTTAGGAGCCCTATTGTGAGGGAAAACAAGAATAGATCAACTGCCTACCTAAAAAGATGTCGTAAGAGTTGACTAATTGGGAGCTTCCTTCGAAGTCAGATTGCATCTGCCTGAGAGGCAAGGAACCAACAGTCTGCATACAAATAAGTCAGATCTGTCAAATGGATGCACACGCTACACTCAGGTTATGGAACATGACTGCACTCCAGAAGTGGATGAACAACCAGAACTTTCCGCCAGAGTTTACAGCTGGTGAACGCAAAGAAGAAGAAGAAGAAGAAATGAAATGTCTGCTTGAATCTGTTTAACATTGCTCTATGTGGTGCTCTGTCTTGTTACGTGACCAAACAACTTAATCTGTTGTCTACCAGTAAAGTTTAGTATTGGTTCTGGGCCAACTCTCCTACTGATATCTTCACTTCTAAGTGGAAAAAACTTATACAGAGTTAGCCCCCCCTCCCCACCCCCACCCCAATGTACTCGCAGTAATCGCCTAGTAGTGAAATATATCTATATGTATGATATTTGTGGTCTTTGAATACATTACAGTAGCAAAATGTTGCGTGGAGTTTTTTAATAACAACCTGTATAAACATTTTGAAAGGTCTACCCCTGGACCCCATACTTTTTGATAGTCGTACTGAAGAACTTATTATAATTGATAAATATGGGAATCAAAAGAGAATTGTATTCATAAGTTTATTGATCTGGGGTTGTTGTTTTGTTTGTTTGTTGTGTAAATAATACTATGGACCCCTTGATTTTGATCTGTTAATTCCCCCCCCCCCCCCCCCCCAGTTCAGCTGACCACCAAATGGGAAATAATGCATTCTTCAATTTACTGGCTGGCATAGTTTGTTATTTCTCATCTGTGGTGATCATATGGTTAATATTAGACTTCCGTTGTTGAAATGTACAGTGAAACATGAAAATTTTTCATTGCAAAGATTCATGTTTTCTGCTTTATTATGTTGAGGGTAAACTCTTGTAAAAATGAATAATATTCTATGCAGTCTTTCTTTGTCAACTGAGATGAGAAATAATTCTCAAGAGCTATAGAGATCCTATCCTGTTATATGGAAGTGAATCATAGACAGTTTTTCGATAAGTGAAAAATTATTTGGAAAGGATGGAGATGTGGTTTATAAGTGAAGGATGAGAATATCCTGGACAGATGAAGAAGATGTCTTGAAAGAAACTGAGTCATGAAGATCTTTCGAAGATCAGTTACAAGATATCTTTCTTAAACTATTTGCTTGTTGTTTCAAATGCACCTGATGGTAGGATGGATTATCCATATCAGAAGGGGACAATCTACATTCTTTGGTCATGTCACGAGAAGGCAGAACTGGAATACATCATAATGGTCAGAATGTCTGATGGGAAAAGAGGCAGAATGAGACCAAGAGTGAAGATGCTGAACAGTTTGACATCATGGCATGGAAGATCGGTGTCAGAATTGACTAAAGTACACCAGACAGAATGTTGTGGATAATATGACTACCAATGCAACACAGCATGGGCTACAAGAGAAGGTAACTCTCTAGTCATGCATCTGACAAGATAATTGAAAAAATGCCAGTCAATAAACTGTAAAATGTTTTGTTTGTGTCCACAGAATTTAAACTCTAATCTAAGACAGCATGTCATTTGTTGTTTTTGTCATCGTCGTCAACGTCATCATCATCAACCAGCAGGTGTTTTACAGAACATCACATGCCTGTGTGTTTCTCATTCTCCAACCTAGTGTGTTTCCATAGCCAATGCTATGTTATGTTATGTTATGTTATGTTATGTTATGGTATGATATGTTATGTTATGGTATGTTATGTTATGTTATGTAACGTTATGTTATCACAAGCGACATCACTGCACACTGGGTATTTTTATGCGTACTCAGTCCTTCGATGCAGCAGCCACTCTAAAGTACTTCTACTAATTGTTCCCATGAGAAGCTAGTTATATTGTCTCCTATCTTGGCCTTGAAGATGGCATTGATGTGCTTCACCATGCTTTACTCCCATGTCACGCAATCGTGTTAGTGTCAGGGATTTGATAGCCAATGCATTCACAGTGTCCTGTATCCATGTTCATGGAAGTCTGCCTCTGCCTCCATCACCTCTCTCTCAAGGCCACCATGATGTTCAACATGGTTAAAATACCTCAACTTTTAAGATAGGATGCTGTTTATGAGCCTTATATCATTTTAGCGGAGGAACGCATTGGGGAGGATACTAGCCTTATCCTATGAAGAGGAAATTCAACCTGAAAACTTTATGTTATGGTAGGACAGACCAGACCCTTACTCTATGAGGGAAGCTTTGACAGACAGGCAGAGCACTGCTCTTCTGATCTGGCAGATTCTGCAGCCTGCTTTATTCCAAACATGCTGGTGTTACCTTTCCTTCAGAGTAAACAAGGCAGGTCGAGCGAGTGGTCGTGATGTATGGGTGACATATGATCCCTACTATCCTGCCCAAGCTTTGTGCTATGGAGAGGATGAACTTCATCTCTGGCTGTTATTGGATAATTTTATAAGGTATCTGTTTGAAACCAACAACCAAACTTGGACACAATAAATATATTTCTGGCTATTTGTATGACACCTATGATTTTAAAATTTCCTGCTAAATCAGAAAAAAAAAAGTCAAAATAAATGAAAATGTTAAATCACCAGAAAACCAACAAGACTCCACATGACTCCAGTCACCACATACAACATGGCTATTTGCAGAAGTGTCCCAATTTCCTGCTCTCTGACCTTTTGGACCCGATCATGAAAGGACTGCTCCCAGGCATATAACTTGAGAGCCTGCAGGAAACAAACACATTTTTTCTCTTGTCAACTCTCTATGTCTCTGTGAGGGCCCTTTGGGAGCAAGTGAACAGTGCTGAGGAACAGATAGATCATTACGGTCTGAGGAGAATGGCACTGTGAGGAGATACAAGGGGATCAGGCCAACACTTGACGCACAGGGGAAAGGTGAGACGGATATACAATCAGACAGTTACTAGTACTATCGGAATTTTAACTCTTCGCTTGCTGCTGAAGATAGGGACGGAGCGCTTATGGGGGTGTCCCGAGTGCTGTGATTTAGATTCCTAATTCAACATTCAACATTATATGTCCAAACAATACCCCATACATGACTAGGTATTATTCAACTGTGCAAGTCAACATGTTATTTATGGTTTTTTTTTTAAATGTTTAGTAAGAGACTGTGGCTGGCTTTGTACAACTTGGTGGAATACTGATGCAATATAAGGCAGATGTTGTTAAGGACTTATGGAAGCATGTGTACAATTCAGAGGAGCAAAGGGTGATCACCACAATCTGGTGAGAGTGATGCAGCAGGGGTGACAAGGGGTTTTGGCCGATACTCGTTGCTCAGAGGAAAGGCAAGACAGAGGTATAATGAGAATGCTACTGGCATCATTGGTATTGGAACTCTTCATTGGCTGCTGCTGAAGATGGGGACGGATTGCTTATGGGATTGCCCCAAGTGCTGTGACACTTACGTCCACACACAGTCTCCTCGATTTACGACACATTTACCTCCTAACAGGAGGGTGTGAGTAGGTGTATGTGTGTGTGTGTATGTGGGTGTGTGGGGTGTATGTGGATGTGTGGGGTGTATGTGGGTGTGTGTACATGTGCTTGCTTACAGTATACACAAATCTCACATTTACAGTTATGAGATCTTTCTTAAATAATGTGCTTGTTGCTTCAAATGCACCTCATGTGAGGCCTTCCTTTTTGTATCCTCTGTGTTTGCAATTAAAAGTCTGATAGCCCTCTACTTTTGCAGCTGACAGCTTAGCTGCACTTCTTGACCACTTCACTTTTTGGCCACTGCACTTTTTGGCCACTGCACTTCTTGGCCACTGCACTTTTTGACCACTGCACTTTTTAGCCACTGTACTTTTTGGCCACTGCACTTCTTTGCCACTGCACTTTTTGACCACTGCACTTTGTGGCCACTGTACTTTTTGGCCACTGCACTTTTTGGCCACTGCACTTTGTGGCCACTGCACTTTTTGGCCACTGCACTTTTTGGCCACTGCACTTTTTGGCCACTGCACTTTTTGACCACTGCACTTTTTGACCACTGCACTTTGTGGCCACTGTACTTTTTGGCCACTGCACTTTTTGGCCACTACACTTTGTGGCCACTGCACTTCTTGGCCACTGCACTTTTTGGCCACTGCACTTTTTGGCCACTGCACTTTTTGACCACTGCACTTTTTTGCCACTGCACTTTTTTGCCACTGCACTTTGTGGCCACTGCACTTTTTGGCCAAACTCACCTGATTAAACAAACAAACAAAAAAAGTCTTAATTAGTCCCATTTTAATTAATTACTTTAACCCCCAGACAGTACGCCACAGAGAGTTCTGTCACTCAGACACAACGGAAGCAGAACTAGAGGTCGACCACGCAAGTGATGGATAGATGGAATATCTGAGGCTGCAAATGCTAACATCAACATAGTACATTAGGAGTGCCCTCAATGCCTCTTCCAAACCAGATCTGGACTAAAGGAGAAGAAGAAGAAGAAGAAGTTCCTTTTTACATCATGCTGGTAAAAGGGCAGTATGTATATTATTCTCCTTCCAAAATGGGATCCCGAGAGCCACATGAGAAATTCTTGCACCATTCATGCAACACCAAGTGTATTAAAAAATCCAAAAAAAAGCTGATAAATTGTCAGTTTTCTTTGTGAAAGTTTCATTGAATTGTAAAAGAAATAAAAAAATTGAGATTGATGCATAAAAGATGGCTAATTTATCTGAAGCTCTCTTAATCATTAAGTTAAATATTAAATAACTCTCACTTTAATTCCATTCAGAATTTCATTCATTATCCGCAGCCTTGTGTCTTTGAACTGTAGGTTCATCTCAAGTAGCTTACTTTGCTTGCCAGCAATCCAGATGCTAACTGGCATTAATATAACCAGTACAATGAAACCTGGTTATAAAAAAACATTAACAACTAAGCGAAACAAAATGAAACAGAACACCTGGAGAAGGAATATATTGTGAATAAAAAAGACACACACACAAAACATTATTAAATCAAAGCACTGAACCTGAGAGGAGTTCAGAGCAAAATCTCAGTACTTATTAAATTTGTAAGATTATAGATGACAAAAGTTAACTGTTAAATTTGTAAGATTATAGATGACAAAAGTTCACTGTTAAATTTGTAAGATAACAGATGACAAGAAGAGCAAAAGCAAAACAGGTAGTGTGATAACTAATACCATTTATTACACAAATATCTAAATAAGAACCCTTTTTGGGGCAACTTTCCGGCTACCATAGCCAAATATGTACACTTACTACAATGAATGAATGCAAAATCAACAACAGAGATGAGATGCATAAAAAGAGCAGGCCGAATAAAAAGAAGAGATAAAATTAAAAATGAAGAAATTAAAAAAAAAGTCTAGGGCTGAAACCATATCACAAATGAAAAAATAGTAACCCAGATTACTTTAAGCTCTTTCGATCCCAAAAAACACAGGGAAAACCAGTCAATATGTTTTGTATTTCTGTACCTTGTAAGTTTAGTCAGTAAAACTAAATCAATTCAACCACACAATCCACCAACAATATGCAGTGTATTTGAACCTTGTGGATGCAGCATACCCATGTTTGGGTTTTCATCCTTACTGCTTTAAACAGGCAACAGTTAAGATCATCTGGGAATGAAAAAGTTAAATATTTCCCAAAACAGATGACAAAATCTTATTAACTCTTTGAGTCTCAGGGGGTTTAGCATCACAGGTCCAAGGGGTAGTAAAGAAAGTAATTAAATTGGTGCATCATGCGTTCATTGGGCCTCTAGGTAGGAACCTATGAACGTATGATGCGTTCCTTGGCACTCAAAGAGTTAACCACCATCACACCTATATGAAAACTACTCTTATAATATATTATAGTTAACACTTTTCATCTATCTTCTTTATTTCTTCTTCTTCTTATTAGCTGTTCTTGATGCACTTATTCCAACTTTTGCATATTCTCCTCCTTGGTCTGTGACTATAATATTTCTTCATGTAGCTGTCTGTGACAACACACAAGAGAATGGAGGAATAGAATGAATACTTGTTATGAACGTCTACATATGAATGAAAGTAAGAAATCATAGCCACAGACTCACCTACAAAAACAGATGGGCCAATTTGAGTATAAATGACCAGCAGGGATACAACAATCTGGAACGGGGCGGTGTGACCAAAAGACACTTTTAGGAGAAACTCTTGTACCCGCTGAGCATCCACAGACATCAGATTGACAATATCACCAACTGTTGATTTCCTCTTTGCTTCATTGTTGATTCTCATGGCCTGGTTAAAAAAAAAAAAAAAAAGCATCTCATGAATATGGCAAACTTCTCTCGCCTTCCCTCAACCTCTTTTTCCACAAATCTTGTCAGTTGCCACATGTTCTATTTCTGGTTGCCTCACAATGGGTCTGCATGACCTCTTTCTGATGCTTGTTACAAGATGTCTTCATATCTTAGCTTCTTTGTGGAATGTTGAATGCTGAATCAAGAATCAACATCGCAGCACTTGGGACACTCCCATAAGTGCTCAGTCCCCATCTTCAGCAGCAAGCGAAGAGTTCCAATTCCGATGGTACCAGTAACCATCTGATTTTATATCCTTCCCCTGAGTGTTGAGCCTCAGCCAGATCCCCTGATAACGCCTCGCAGAGCCATTCTCCTTAGACCGTTTATGATCTATCTGCGCCTCCACACTGTTCACTCGCTTCCAAAGGCCTTCACAATATCTAACTTATCATTCATCAGTTCACCACCAAGTGATGCAGAGCCAGCCAAACTATCTGTCTGCTCATTTCCCAACACACCAGCATGAAATGGAGAAAAGATCCAAAGGATGCTAACTACCCGGGACCTCTGAAGTAATGCTTGCCACTCTGCACGGAGCATACCTGTCTCCACCTTTCTCAACATGCTCTGTGAGTCAGTTACAATCACGGCATGTGTGTACAGCTAATTCTCAAGCCAGCTTCTTTGTCAAAAATTGCTAATTACTGCCTATATTTACCACTTTCGAGGTGTGTGTGGGGGAGGTTGGGGGCGAGGGGGTCTTTCATCTGAAGATTTTGGGCTACCAGAGTCACCGTGCTGTAGCAGCTAGACGCATGCCGGCGGATCGGAAGGTTGTGTTCTACCGTGCTGTAGCAGCTAGACGAATGCCGGCGGATCGGAGGATTGTGTTCTACCGTGCTGTAGCGGCTAGACGCATGCCGGCGGATCGGAGGATTGTGTTCTACCGTGCTGTAGTGGCTAGACGCATGCCCGCGGATCGGAGGATTGTGTTCTACCGTGCTGTAGTGGCTAGACGCATGCCGGCGGATCGGAGGATTGTGTTCTACTGTGCTGTAGCGGCTAGACGCATGCCGGCCGATCGGAAGGTTGTGGGTTCGGGTCCTGGCAGTACCAGACTTTTAAAAAAAAACGATCTTGGCTTCCAGGTCGACCCAGCCTGAATGGGTAACAGGAAGAGTCCCGGGAAGTAAAGGTGGCTTGTGTGATGCTGACTATATCATCCACCAAGTTCCAATTGGTCTATAAAATACAGGTCTTGCCCTATATGCCCAATAGGCTTTAAGGCGTGGATAAGGGTCTATTACTTTACTTTATTACTTATTTTTGGGGACTACATGGCTAGTGCTGTTGCTTTATTACCGTTTTATCCTACTATCTTTCTCCTTCTTTCTATGAGTACCGACCAATACATGTTTGTTTATTATACACAATATCTCTAGGTCCTCAAGAGTTCCCTATCAGTGTATGTCTGTAAACTATCCATCCGTATTCCCCATGCGGGTTTCCGTGTTCCCCATGTAGGTTTCCTTATTCCCCATGTGGGTTCTGTATTCCCCATGTGGGTTTCATATTTCCCATGTGGGTTCTGTATTTCCTAGGTGGTTCTGTATTATCTAGGTGGGTTCTATATTCCCTATGTGGGTTCTATATTTCCTATGCAGGTTCTATATTTCCCATGTGGGTTCTGTATTCCCTAGGTTGGTTCTGTATTATCTAGGTGGGTTCTATATTCCCTATGTGGGTTCTATATTCCCTATGTGTGTTCCGTATTCCCTAGGTGGGTTCTGTATTTCCCATGTGGGTTCTATATTTCCCATGTGGGTTCAATATTCCCCATGTGGGTTTTGTTTTTCCCATGTGGGTTCTGTATTCTCCATTTAGGTTCCATATTCTCCATGTGGGTTCCATATTTCCCATGTGGGTTCCGTATTCTCCATTTAGGTTCCATATTCTCCATGTGGGTTCCATATTCCCCATGTGGATTCCGTATTCTCCATGTGGGTTCTGTATTTCCTAGGTGGGTTCTGTATTATCTAGGTGGGTTCTATATTCCCCATGTGGGTTTTGTATTTCCAATGTGGGTTCCATATTCCCCATGTGGGTTCCGTATTCCCCATGTGGGTTCCGTATTCCCCATGTGGGTTTCGTATTCCCCATGTGGGTTCCGTATTTCCCATGTGGGTTCCGTATTCCCCATGTGGGTTCCATATTCCCCATGTAGGTTCCGTATTCCCCATGGGGGTTCCATATTCCCCATGTGGGTTCCATATTCCCCATGTGGGTTCCGTATTCCCCATGCGGGTTCCGTATTCCCCTTGTGGGGTTCCAGGGTTCCACTGTTGGGGGTGGGAAACAAGAATAGATCCCCTGCCTCCCCAACAAGTATGTTACATGTATGAGTCGACTAATTGCAAGCTTCCTTCGATTCAGAGTACATCTGCATGTGTGGCAAGAAATCAACCAGCTGCATACAAAAAAGCCAGTAAAACAGATGTACATGCAAAACTCAGACAGTGACACAAAGCCAAAGTCCAAATAGGTGAACAACCAGAACTTTTTTCTGGAGCTTACAGCCGGTAAACAAAGGAAAAAGAAGACGAAGATTCAGCTGTATGTCAACTTTTTTTAATACTGTTACTGCCGAATGTAAACTCTAAGCTTGTGCACTTCAGAATAACAATATTTTAATCTTTTTAAGCTAAAATACAACTATAAGGCACTGGTAGTTACATGTAGTTAAAGTAATGGCTGGGTTAGAATGGGTTAATGTAGCTGAGGAATGAGACGAAAATGTATAAATTACTGCAACGTTTTCATTCATTACAAGATGTCAATGAGCCAGTGCATTTATACTGACACCATCACTAAGACATCCAAAGATAAGTATGAGTGTCAAGCAACAGATTATAAACAGCATATTCACACCAACACTGTGACCATCAGTATTGGAACTCTGCACTAGCTGCTGAAGATGAGGACGGAGCATAAATGGGAATGCCCAGAGTGCTTGAATTCACAAACTCTACTCAACTCAACCAACACTGCTACCATCACAAGACTTGGACATGAAATCAACACCTGTGAAATGAGATGCCTGAGAAAAGTTGCCAACTTAACCATCTGAGTCAAAAGTCAGAAAACATGCAGAAAACACCATGCAGCGAATTCATTGAGAAACAGAAGATCAATTGGTTTGGTCATTTAGTCAGAATGCAGCAAGAATAACTAGCAACACAGGCTTTACACATGACAGTGTCTGAAGTGAAAGCAAGAGGCCGCCCTAGGAGAACATGGATGGATGATATTAAAGAGCTTCTACAATGACACAGAATAACAAAAGCTATTGCTGCCCATCAAGTATTGGATCGCAAAACTGTTCCTCCCCACAACACTTAATGACAAAAGTGGAAACTGATGATGTTGATGATTCATTCATTGATTTTCCTTGTGTGCCCTTATATGCCACATAGAGCTCATAGTCCTTTCCTCCATTCTGTTTTGTCCTGTGCAATGAATTGAGTTGATTCAAGAAATGACATCACAGAACTCGGGGCATTCCCATAAGTGCTCCGTCCCCATCTTCAGCGGTCAGTAAAGAGTTCCAATACTATGGTGCCAGTAGCATTCTGATTAAACGTCTGTCTTGCCTTTCATCTGAGCCTCCAGCATCTGCCAGAACATCTTGTCACTTCCTCCTGCATCAGTCTCACCAAAATATGGGGATCCATCTGCTCCTCCAAACTGTACACGCTCTCACCACAAGGCACTAACCACGTCTGCCTTATCATGCATCAATATTCCACCAAGTTGTGCAGAGCCAGCCAATCTGTCCACCTGTTCATTTCCCAACACACCGGTGTCTCCTGGTGATAAAAACAGACAATACTCCTCACCCGTGTCCTCCGCAGTAAAGCATGCCACTCTGCACGCCTGTCCTGACCTACCTCAGCATGCTTTCTGAGTCAGTTACAATTGTCCTGTGCAATCGGTTCAATATCATAGATGGAATTTAGTCCAGCAGCTTTGGCCTCTCTCATCAATGTTTGTCTTAGGGTGTCTTCTGGACGTCCTCATCTCCTGAACTATTTCAGTGTCGGGAACGAATCATACGTTCATAGGTTCCTATCTAAAAGCCCAATGAAAACAAGATGCACCAATTTTACATCTCTCTTTCCTACCTTTGGGCTTCTGAAGTTGAACTCCCTAGGACTAAAAGAGTTCATCCATTTGTTTCCCATTTTAATGCCTGTGTTGGTGATTCTCTGTTGGTTTCTTCTCAGGATGTGTTGAATGTAGCACACCATCTTCTCTGTTTCATAACAGTTGTTACCAGTGGTTGCCCAGACATTTCTGTTATTTCTTCATTCCTTCTGAATTAATACCATGTTATTTTCATCATTTTCCATGTATAGAGAAACTAATACATAAAAGTCCTGGGTACTTTCTTTTGTTCATTTTCTGATTTGTGCCGCTAGGTGTCGCGGGCTAACAAATGATTAGTATCCGAGCTAAAGCAAGCTTGGTTGCCCACTGTGCTGTGAGGGTGAGTCTTAAAGTATCAAAACCACATTAACAGGTTAAACAGCATGCAGTAAATACAACATGAAGATAAATGTAAACAAAACCAAAACAATGCAAGTTAGTAGACATTCTGCCCCACTACACATACAGCTGAATGGTTCTGCTCTGAATCTAAGTTAGGGAGTTTAAATATCTAGGAAGTATGATCACAGAAGATGGTAGAATTGACAGAGAAATAGAAACCAAATGTCAGAAAGCAAGTGCACTTATATCCCAATTGTCACCATTATTAAGACATCCAAGCATAACTATGAGTGCAAAGAGACAGATTATTAACAGCATATTCATTCCAACATTGAGCTACCAGTGCCAAACATGGACATTATCTAAAGTCCATATATGCAAAATCACCACCTGCGAGATGAGATGCCTGAGAAAAGCAGCCAACCTAACCATCTGTGTGAATAATGAAACTATCAGGCAAATTGTGGGAACAACACCTTGTACTAGATTCATTGAGAAACAGCAGATAAAATGGTTTGGCCATCTCGTTAGAATGCAGCAAGATCAAATACCATCACAAGCACTGCATCTCAGAAGACCAACTACAAGAGCAAGAGGATGGCCGCGGAAAACATGGATAAACAAGATTAAAGACACTCTATGCCTTCACGGCAGGACAATAGCCAGTAGCAGCCAGCGTGCACTGAATCACAAAATTATTCCTCCCCCACGACGCTTAACAGCAAAAGTGGTTTTTGATGATGATGAAATATAACTAGATTGTTCTTGCACTGGAATCCACAGGGTCAAAGGCATGAAGTAAGACCAAAAAACAGAGGGATTACAGTTAAAGAATCAGGTGAACAACATGGAGCAACATGAGATGAGCTGCTTATGGTAGTCAAGAACAGGACAACTTGGTGAAAGCTGAGAGCCTGTGTACCATGGGAGGATAAAAGACAGAATAAGACATGAAGGTACTGACCTTGTTGTAGATTGCTGTGGTCAACACTGACTTCATTCTCATGCCAACTTGGAAAGCTCTCATCATGGAGGCATTGAAGAGAGCGATTCTGAACTGACCTGTCAGCAGCATGAGTAGACAAACCCCATAGCCCTGCCACTGGGTACCTGGGGCATGGTTTTCCATGTAATAAATCAGCAGACTGTCCAAGAAGAAATGAGCATTGATTAGAAATAATTGGCAGTTGTTTCCCCTTCCCACTTCGTTAAGCTTCCAAGTTACATTTCAGTGGAGTAGTTTCTCTGTATAAGCTTGTCTTCAGTCATCCATGTTTTCATCACTTGTTGGCTTGCCGTAGTCTATGATCTTCAAAAGTTGTATCCGTTTGTGTGCTGATTCCTATCTGTTGAATGTCAAATCTGTATTTAATTTATATATATATATATATATATATATATATATATATATATATATATATATATATATATATATATATATATATATATATATATATATATATATATATATATATATATACTATATATATATAGATAGATAGATAGATAGATGGATATTCTGATAATTCGTGAGTAGAAGGGTAAATAATGCATGAGTTAACACTCAGACCTGAGACTTTGTCTAGACCCAGTGAACAGAGGTGAAGCGAGTCACCATGAGTCCAGTTTAAGCCCTGGGCATAACCGGCGAGCTAACTGTGTGTCTCAAGGTGAAAGCTCAGTCCCATGAGATACTTGGACAAGTTTCAAGGGACGTTATTTGTTTGGGAAGTTTCCTACTGTGAGGATGGTTTGTGTTCCTTGCTTGTGTTCTGGCTCACAGCTGTATGCTGCAGAGACAAAGAGCTATATTGCGAAAGTCTCAAGCCGGTGTATAATGCTTGTGACTTTATGATTCATTCTATTTTACAGAAAGTAGGTGTAATTGGGACAATGTCTATTTCTACTGCTAACCCTGATTGTAGCCGGCTTGTTTGTATGCAGGTCGAGGCCATGTGCAAGCTCGTAGATCTTTAGACCTCAGGGCTAAACTGTCTGCATCCCCAGAGCTCCGCTTGTCAATAATTCTGAGGTTGCGCAAGCTTAGGCTTTAATAAGCCATTGCATTATGATACTGACACTGTGCAAGGTTGTTATTTTTGCATCATCATTTGCTTGTGCTGGTGAGCATGAACGCCTTGTCAATAAATATAGTTGTGATGATGTCTAGCGTATTGTGGTCCCGACTGAATTTACTGTAACCTCATGTTCGAGAGCTTTGATTATTGTAATCGCTAGATACTTGACTTGTGTGGACCTTACGGCTGAATAACTCCATGGTGGCCTGAGATGCAGCATATTCTACTTCAGCATCAAGTTAGCACCAGCAGCGTCACAGCAGTACCCTTGCCATGATAAAGAATCTTTCAAGAATCTTCTGCATTATCTTTCTCTAGCTCTTCTTTTTCCAGAAATCACTCCTGTGGTCACAACTTTTAATGCCTTTAGTATACCACATTTGTAGTTCAGTGTTAGGTTTTAGCCTGAACATTCCAGAAAGGCTGCAGGAGTGGCCAGAAGGGATAAAATTAGAAATGAGGTTACAAGAGGACAAACTGGCATAGGTCCAGTTCTAAATTACATGCAAAGACAGCAAATCAGATTGGGCTAATCATTTAGAGAAATTACCTTGTGATACCATAACATACAAGTTATAATCAAAAAGGGAAAAGGATGTAGAGCATGGGGTAGACCAAGAACCAAATGGAAAGATAAATGTCAGAGAAACTCTACAAAAGCAAGGTGTATTTATGGTCAAGGTGGTCAGAAGAGCAAGCAGCAGACCCTTATATACCCTTGACACTTGAAGCGATAAAAGAGGAAATGAAGAAGAAGATCATCTGCATTACTAGTGCAGACATCATAAACTGTACAGGTTTGGATTTCATTTTTGCTTCCTGTAGTTTAATATTGCTTGAAAGAAGCTAATGAAAGTAGATCTCTATATACAACAATAAGAAAGAGACAAACACTGTTCTTTGGCCACATAATGAGAAAAGAGACAATTGAGTGACATTGGAGGAGAATGAACATTGTGACACGGACTGGGAAAGGTGTCAGTTATAACACATGATGAATGAGGAGTAGAGGCAGACCAAGAGAGATGATGCTGGATTAGCTGAAAAAAGAAAAATGGCCTAACCTTAGAGAGGATTTGGAAGATCTCCCACATGAAAAACATAATCATCAAGAGAGCTTTTCCAACGGTTAAAAAACAACTGCTTTGACCTGAGGGTACCGTGATTGGCATCTTGCAGGGCTTGAAAGTTGGCTTGCTTACGAAACTCCATATGGTATTCTTCAGAGAATTGTGGCCATTAAAAAAAAAAAAAAAAAGTAACACATTACAGAATGTAGTACATATCCCCAAAAGTTGAGTAACACACCCCAGAATGTTGAGCAACTTATGCCAAAATGCTGAGTGACATCCCATAATGTTGAGTAGCACATCCAAGAATTTCAAGTAATAGCCCCAACAAGTTTAGTTACACATCTCAGAATGTTGAGTTACACTTCCCCTAATGTTAGGTAACACGTCTGAGAAGAAAGTTGAGTAACATCCCATAATGCTGAGTAGCACATCCAAGAATTGTGAGTAATAGACCCCAAAATGTTGAGTTACACATCCCCATTATTTTGAGTCCCCAAATTTTAAAAAAAAATCATTCAAAAATGTTTTCTCAAATGCTCACCTGAGCAGCAACGGTCCACAAATACTGGCCAGGTCAGACAACATCTTTGTCCAGGTAAAGAAAATAGATGTCTGACCAAAACTGTTTCCACAGAATTAGCATCAAAGATGGTTCTGGTGCCTTCAGCTTCTCCTCTTGGCTTGTTTGGTCCAGAAACTTGGAATACTGAGACCTCAGGTTCTACAAATTTGAAGAAAAAATTTACATAATTCAGTAAAAATATGTAAGCAGTTGTTACATGAAAGACTGATTACAGCATAAATAAAGTGAATACATAAACATGTATACTATCAATCCTGATAACCCAAAAGGCATTAACATGGTAATAATTTAAATAATATTGTGGATCGGAAAGTCATGGGTTTGGGTCTTGATAGAGAAGGACTTTTTTTCAAAAATGAACTTGGCTCCCAGGTCAACCCAGCCTTAAGTGGGTACCAGGTACAGTCCTGGGAAGTAAAGGTGGCTGGCATGATGCTGACCACATCAGCCACCAAGTGCCGTTTGGTCCATACAAATTTAGGTCTAGCCCTATATGCCCTATACGCCTAAAGGCATAGAAAAGGGTCCTTTACTTTACTTTTACTGAGGGTTTAGAAAAAATGATATTTATGTGAAAACTGATGCTGCTGTTACTACTGATACTGATGCTACTGCTACTGCTGCTAGTGCTACTGATACTACTGCTACTACTGCTCCTACTGATACTGCTGCTACTACTGCTCCTACTGATACTGCTGCTACTACTGCTCCTACTGATACTGCTGCTACTGCTATTGATACTACTGCTACTACTGATACTGCTGCTACTACTGCTACAACTGATTCCGCTGCTACTACTGCTCCTACTGATACTGCTGCTACTATTGCTCCTACTGATACTGCTGCTACTGCTACTGATACTACTGATACTGCTGCTACTACTGCCCCTTCTGATACTGCTGCTACTGATACTGATACTACTGCTACTACTGCTACTAATGATACTACTGCTACTGCTACTATGACAACTGAATTCTATGTGTCCAGATAAAATTCTCCAACCTTAGAAAAGCCCGAGATTCTAGTCTTCTCTGAAGAATGCGTTGACAGCTGCACCAGATTGCTCCCTGGGTCAACGCCATTGGTGCTGGAAGTGTAAGTGACTCCATATGCTTTGTTCTTTCTCCTGTGGTAGATTGATTTATCAATGTTAACTTTTATTAAACCATTCCTGTGGTAGATTGATTTATCAATTTTAACTTTCATTAGACCATTCCATTCCAATGATCTCATCCATTATTCTTTAATGAATTTGATGACAGGGATGTGTGCTCTCCCCACTTTTATTTAACATCTATACAGACAGAATATCTAAAGAAGCAAGTTCTGATACAGACAACATCATCATCATCAGTTCTCGTCATGCCTAGTGGCACATGAGGCTTCAGAGAGGACTTTCCATGCTTTCCTGTCCTGTGCAATCTTCAGTGCAGTTTTCCATGTCAAAGATGCCGCACTCAGGTCACTTTCCATCGTTCGTCTCCATGTTGTTTTTAAGCCTCCCCCCCCCTGTTTTCTCTTTCCCTCTGGTGTCCATGTGGGAGCTGTTTTGGCAGGTATATCAGAAATCATTCTCATAACGTGGCCAAGCCATTTCCATCTTCTCTTGGTAATCATACTGTCTAAAGTTTCTTGGTTTGTGGCTTGAAGTAGTTTAGTGTTTGAGATTGTATCTGGCCAGAAAATACAGACAACATAGACCTTCATAATCATGAGGAAGTACATACATCAAAACTACTATTTGCTGATGACCAGTGCTTGTTCTACCCTGAAAAAGATAGACTGCAATACCACATTAACAGGTTAAACAGCATGTAGTAAATACAACATGAAGATCAATGTAAACAAAACCGAAACAATGCAAGTTAGTAGAACCCCTGCCCCACTACACATACAGCTGAATGGTTCTGCCCTGAATCAAGTTAGGGAGTTTAAATATCTAGGAAGTATGATCACAGAAGATGGTAGAATTGACAGAGAAATAGAAACCAGATGTCAGAAAGCAAGTGCACTTATATCCCAATTGTCACCATTATTACGACATCCAAGCATAACTATGAGTGCAAAGAGACAGATTATTAATAGCATATTCATTCCAACATTGAGATACCAGTGCCACTATCTGAAGCCCATATACGCAAAATCACCACCTGCGAGATGAGGTGCCTGAGAAAAGCAGCCAACATAACCATCCGAGATCGAGTGAATAATGAAACTATCAGGCAAATTTTGGGAACGACACCTTGTACTAGATTTATCGAGAAACAACAGATCAGGTGGTTTGACCATCTCATTAGAATGCAGCAAGATCAAATACCATCACAAGCACTACATCTCAGAAGATCAGCTACAAGAGCAAGAGAACGGCAGTGGAAAACATGGATCGACAACATTAAAGACACTCTACGCCTTCACAGCATGACAATAGCCAGTGGCAGCCAACGTGCACTGGATCGTAAATTATTCCTCCCCACGTCACTTAATGGCAAAAGTGGTTTATGATGATGATGCTGATAATGATTATGATGACTGAAAATGTTATTTACTCTTGTTCTTCCAGCAGCTCTCCTAAGACATCTTCTCTCTGTTGTTATCATTGTCTAGTCTTGTTTCTCCAGCAGCTCTCCTAAGACATCTCCTCTCTGTTGTTATGATTGTCTAGTCTTGTTTCTCCAGCAGCTCTACTAAGACATCTTCTCCCTGTTGTTATCATTGTCTAGTCTTGCTTCTCCAGCAGCTCTACTAAAACATCTTCTCTCTGTTGTTATCATTGTCTAGTCTTGCTTCTCCAGCAGCTCTACTAAGACATCTTCTTTCTGTTGTTATGATTGTCTAGTCTTGCTTCTCCAGCAGCTCTACTAAGACATCTTCTCCCTGTTGTTATCATTGTCTAGTCTTGCTTCTCCAGCAGCTCTACTAAAACATCTTCTCTCTGTTGTTATCATTGTCTAGTCTTGCTTCTCCAGCAGCTCTACTAAGACATCTTCTCCCTGTTGTTATCATTGTCTAGTCTTGCTTCTCCAGCAGCTCTACTAAAACATCTCCTCCCTGTTGTTATGATTGCCAACTCATTAATTGTAGTAAGGGTCTACGTTTAACACTGGTCCCAGAGATTCGGCTGATAACAGTTATGTTTCCAGTAATGTCTTTGTGTGTGGAAGGCTGCGTTATAGATAATCCTATTTATGCTATCCATTTCTGAATACGATTCTGTTCTATAGAACCTGTTATACCTTTTGGCCTCAAGTTTTAAAAAAAGGCATCCGGCGCAAGCCTTGGCATGTGTTGCATAGATGCCGGTATTAATTTCCTCTGATATTCCATTTAATGCTTACGTGGTGATCTCTGCTTCAGTTGTGTCTAAGTTACAGGGCTTTCTGTATTGCACCCTCTTGTAGTAGCATGTACCATAGCAACTGTCAGATTTCTTCTTACTGTTTCTTCAAGCAAGCTTTTATCTGCTGCTGGCTTACTGAGCCTGTGGACATTTCAGGGAGTATTTAACGAGAGGGAGCAACTTTTACATAAATGTCTATCGACATAAACATTTATTCATAAATATATGCAAAATAATCAGCTATTAACCATTTGTTACAAGCAGCTGTTATCTAAAGTCTACTCCAAGAAGTTACACTCGAAAGTAGTCGGCTTATTTTATGCAACTGCATTCAAGTGTTTTCTCACAAACCTCTGTAATAAAACAGAACAGTTCAAAGTAAATCACCTATTATCCTTGTTGCATCTTTGAACTTCATTTTTCCACAGCTGCTCAAATGTGGGCATGTGAGAGTCACAGGTCATGTCTGGGGGCAGCGGCCAAAGGTCAGACTCCACAATGTCTCGCTTGAATCCGATTCGGAGAAGCCTGAAATAAAGACCCTATCTGTTGCTTCTGAAAACATTGTAATTAATTACAGGAAGTCTAAAGGATAGCAGGAAAGAGATTTGAAGTTTCAACAATGGATCAACATCATGGCATACAGGTAGTAGCCATAAGTACTCATAAGTAATATATGACTACAAACAGGCATGTCTGGGTGAAAAGACATATAATATCATATTATTTTTCCAGCGAACTTCAATTTTTCTTTAATGTTTTTTTTTACAACTCAAAAGAAGAAAATTAATTTGTCCACCCACCTTCCTTCTACTCCTTACTTTATTCTAACAACAACAGCTTCTACTGTGACTTCTAAGACCGTTTTGTCAGATGTCTCCGCTGACATTTCTTTTTCTTGGCCTAGTCATATCTTATTCATTTCCACTTGTAAAAAGTTAAATCAGGTAAATATTAGCTTTTAGTCTTGAACAACAACAACAAAACTGAAGAGATAACAATCTGGCCCCAAATCCCTGCAGGTTACAGATTTTTTTTTTAATGTAAGGAACAGTAGAAATTTTGGCATGACAAGGATCTTCATAAAGTTGATTAGTGAAAGTGAACTGATAAAGTTGACTGGTGAAAGTGAACCAATAAAGTTGAATGGTGAAAGTGAACCGATGACAAGGATCTTCATAAAGTTGATTGGTGAAAGTGAACTGATAAAGTTGATTGGTGAAAGTGAACCAATGACAATGATCTTCATAAAGTTGATTGGTGAAAGTGAACTGATAAAGTTGATTGGTGAAAGTGAACCGATGATAAGGATCTTCATAAAGTTGATTGGTGAAAGTGAACTGATAAAGTTGATTGGTGAAAGTGAACCGATAAAGCTGATTGGTGAAAGTGAAGCGATAAAGTCTTCGGCAGCAAGCACAGAGTTTAAATTCTGCTGGTACCAGCAACAGTCTAAATATATTTTGATCTTGCCCCTCCCCTGAGTGTGAAATGTCTGCTAGATCCCCCAGCCACTCCATCCTCGTGCACCTTTCTCTTCCGACCATAATGATCTTTTTGTGCCTCCTCACTGTATAGTCACTCCTCAAGAGACCTTAACAACATCTAGATTGCCATACATAAGTTAAACCCAAGATGTGCATGCAGGACCAGCCAAGCTATCTGTCTGTTCATTTCCTAACACACTGCATACCCTAGTGAAAAATATCTAAAGAATGCCAACTATCCAGAACCTTTGAAGTGATGTTTGCCACTCTGCATGGAGCATACCTGTGTCCTCCTTTTGTCAACATGCTCTTTGAGTCAGTAACAATCATGACATGCCTGTGCAGCTGCTGGTTCTCAAACCAGCTGAAGGTTGCAACCTACAAGTAAGTTATAATTAGGGCATGTGTCATGGCTACATCGTCCCAGTGTTGGAAGGAGTTTGTTCCCAACGATAAGTCAGATATTATTTAATCAATCATTATGTCCTGTTATAGAAAGTCACTCTCTTCACAGCACGCCTAAAAGTCTTTCTCTAGCCCATTCTCCAGCCTTGTGTGCTTTCATAGCCAACGCATCTTTACGATCCTAAATCCACATTTGTGAAGGTCAGTTTCTGCATCATTTTCTGGAAACTGCATCCTCCATCATTTTTTCTTACAAGACCATGTAAGTATTTTAAAATACAGAGGACAGTCTTCAGATACATAAACAAGAGACAGGTTAAGATGTATAGTTTGACAGAGCTGTAGTCTCACTCACTTGAAAATCCAATAGTAGAACACATGAGACAGGGCCGAGGCTTCCAGTAACGGACACTGAGGCTGCGGAGTAGAACAAAATACAAAGTTTAGTGATCAGTGATTAGAAAGGATTATCATCACAGCTCTCCAGACAGATCCATAGGTGCTCCGATCTTCTCCTCAAAAGCTCCACAAGTGTAAAATGACTGATGACACCTCTTCTGTGCTGGTTAAGGAAACGTCTTGTCCCCTTAGTGAAATTTTCATTTCTTGCAGCTCCAGGCTGCACCCCTATGTCCATCAGTCTAGACAGGGATTCAGAGTCATGTCCTTTGGCGTGCTTCTCGGTAAGGTAAGTGCAGCGCATGGCATTGATAACCTCACTTCTGTCCAGTACTGGAATAGCCATAGCAACCGCAGTGTCAGCAAGATAGTCTGCACGCCTGTTTCCTCAAACACCCACATGACCTGGCACAAATATGTTGCAATCCATTCTTGCCTGATAAATCCAGCTTAGATTTGTTAAAGCCTATTCGTCCCTTAGAATGCATACGTATGTGAACCTTGAGTTTAAAAAAATACGAAGTTTGTCTGAAGGGATGAATAGAAACTTCTCAGACATTTTATTTATCAATCTAAATTGCTGGTATTGGTCACATCGAGCTCTTTATCTAGTTCTCCATCCCATCTTATCCATTCTCTCTCACTCATACACACACGGATGTGCAAACACACAACACACAAATACAGTAACAAACATCGAAAAGGGGTGGGGTGGGGGGGGGGGGGGGTTCTGACCATAGTAGCATGCAAACTTCTACAGGAGATAAACTTTTACCACTTCCTAGGTCAATGGACCTATGTCATGTTTTATGTGCTACTGCAACTCCTCCTCCTCCTTCTGCATCATCTGTCACTGTATCCATCTTTATCTTCTTTTTCTCCATTCATCTTCTTCTTCTTCACCTTCTTCTCCTCCTCCTCATTCTCCTCCCGGTTGCAACAGGTACTATTAGCATGTCAACTCTTAGTTGGCTACTGAAGAAGAGGACGGAGCATGTGTGGGAATGTCCCGAGCTCAGAGATGTCAATTCTTGATTAAATATTCATTTTTTTCCTTCCCTTTATCCCCTCCTTATCTCCACCTTCTTCTTCTGCTGCTGCTTCCGCTTCTGCTTTTTCCTTTTTCTACTTCTTCTTCTTTTTCTTCTTCTTTTTCTTCTTCTTCTTCTTCTTCTTCTTCTTCTTCTTCTTCTTCTTCTTCTTCTTCTTCTTCTTCTTCTTCTTCTTCTTCTTCTTCTTCTTCTTCTTCTTCTTCTTCTTCTTCTTTTTCTTCTTCTTCTTCGTCTTCTTCTTCTTCTTCTTTTTCTTCTTCTTCTTCTCTTTCTTCTTCTTCCTCCTCCTCTTACTCTTCTTCCTCCTCCTTTTCTTCTTCCTTGTCTTTTTCTGCTTCTTCTTCTTCTTGTTCTTCTTGTTCTTGTTCTTCTTCTTCTTCTTCTTTTTTTTTCTTCTTCTTCTTATATATCTTCTTCTACACAATATTTGTGATCAGCTATTATCTGCTGGGATCAATATTCATCATCAACCAACACTTAACTTAAATATTACAACAATTCAGTAGAACATTTGCCCCTGTGGCTTTGGGATCCTCAGATACTAGGGTTCGATCTCTGAGGTAGGCAGTTAAAAAAAACCATTTTTGTTTTCAGTTAGTGGTTCAAGAGTCACACCATGGAAGAGAGTGAGGCCTCACCAGCTTCTATCCCCATAGACAACAAACAGTGGTACACTGTAGCCAGATTTCTTTAAATATAACAGAAAGAGCACTGTATGCAAACCTAATGTGACGGATAATGACACAAGATAATGATGATTATGATACTGACTATTGAGCTTAAAACTGACATCATAGCACTCGAGACATCCCAATAAGCACTCCATCCTCATCTTTAGCAGCCAGCAAAGAATTTCAATTCTGATGGTGTCCGAAGCAGTTTGATTATATGTCCGCCTTGCCTTTCAACCGAGTCCAGAGTGTTGACCACATCCCCTGGTCACTCCTACCTTCACTATTCTCTCCAGGTCATAATGAATCTTTCTGTCCCTCTGCATCGTTCACTTGTTCCCAACGGGACTTGATCACATCTTGCTTTTCACACACAAATTCCCCACCCACTGGTGCAGAATCAATGAAACAAGAGCATGAACCTTTTATACAAGGAAAAGACAACTACCGAATCTAAAGAGTTGTAGCCCCTTTTGCTGGCTGAGGTTCCCGGATGTTCTGACCAGCAGTTGAGGAAAAGGCAAGTGAGGACCAGAAGGAACACGAGGTAAAACAGGACGAACCCGACAAAATCCTCCTGGTATTTCTGAAAAGTAAAACATAGGCATATTCACTGCAAAGTTTTTCCTTATATTTTTAAATATAGGCATATTCACTAAAAAAAAGTTTTTCCCTTAAAATTGTTAAACATAGGCATATTCACTGCAAATTTTTTCCTAATATTTTTAAACATAGGCATATTCACTGCAGAGTTTTCCCTAATATTTTGAAACTATTTTTTTACTGCTTTCATTACTTTTTTGTAGCTGTATTTTAATAAAATGGGGAGCAGAGTGTTAATTGCCATTTGCTTCATGCTCCCAGTGTTGTGAGTTTAAGATAATTCCTTTAGTTCACAAGTGCAGGTGTTTTCTAAGAGATTCTTGCAGGTTGTCACTAGAGCTATAGAATTTGTGCTTTGTGCAATGTCCTCGGTGGACGACCAGCCACCGTGTGGAGACAGATCAGGCCTGGTGCAATCTTGCTTTCAATTAACACTTATTTTAAGCTGTTGTAATGATACAAATAGTAATAAATTGAACAGTTATAAAAAATGTCATAACTAATCTGCAACAACCCAGTTTCTCCTCTGTTATAATGAGGACAACAAATAGACATAAATTAGTAAAAATAAATCTTCATGAATCTAGTTGAAAATTTTCAGTGGCTTCTGATACAGGATGATGATAAATTGTGAATAATGTGATCAGTAATACTAAACAATACTTTTCTAACAAATAAACTGGTGATACTAAATGTATACGACTGTAGACTGGAATATTCAGCCTTAGTTTTTTTTCTGAAACAAAATACTCGTAACCTACATGCAGCGATGATTAAAAAGAAAAAGAAAATAAGACTGAGAGTCATGAAGGATGATAAATAAACAAAACAAGAGAGTTACCTGCTCCATGGCTAGAGTATAGGCAGGGATGATCAAAGCCACTGACATGAAAGTCCAGAATGCAAACTGCAGAATGGAAGCAGTCACACCACGCTGTCGCTCATACTGGCCTAGAACTGCAGAGACTGTCTAAAAATAGAATTACCACTCTTTTCACTTAAATTAAAAATGTGTCATTTAAAGCATATTGAATTGTTCAGTCTGACCTGTGGTCACAATATTTTTTAGAAGATGTCCTCTTGTCTCTAGAACATGCCCAAATGATTTCCTGTTGCCCCTAGTCTTCTTCTTCTTCTTTTTCAGAATTCTGAATCCCTTGAGATTCCTTACCCCCTATATCAGCTGCTTCAATTCATCTTTCTGTTAGGCTTTCTCTTTCCGATAGGTGACTCTAAGTGTTTATATGTCTGCCTGTATGCTATCTCTCCAACATCTTCTTGGTCTGTCTAATGGTCTAATCCTGTTCAACTCTTTTCTGAATGCAGTTTTTTCATCTCTGTAATCTGCCAGTCTCTCTGTATGCCATGCCATTACAGTCTATGACCCCTACTGATGTCAGTAATTAGTGGTAATTAAAATAGATTATTAATGTCTTTCTAGCCTTTCACTCTCCATTCTCTAGTGTTTGCATCTTTGATGGGCCCAAAGATTTGTCATAAAACTGTTCTCAAACGTCTTTAGTACATAACCTAATTATTTCCTTGCACCTGTCATTGTTCCTTGTGTACATTATTATCCTCTACTTTTGTCTGGTGTACTGTTGTCTGGTGTAATGTTGTCTGGTGTAATGTTGTCTGGTGTAATGTTGTCTGGTGTGATGTTGTCTGATGTAATGTTGTCTGGTGTACTGTTGTCTGGTGTACTATTGTCTGGTGTACTGTTGTATGATGTACAGTTGTCTGGTGTACTGGTGTCTGGTGTACGGATGGCTGGTGTACAGATGTCTGGTGTACTGTTGTCTGGTGTATGGATGGCTGGTGTACGGATGTCTGGTGTACTGTTGTCTGGTGTACTGTTGTCTGGTGTACGGATGTCTGGTGTACTGTTGTCTGGTGTAATGTTGTCTGGTGTAATGTTGTCTGGTGTAATGTTGTCTGGTGTGATGTTGTCTGATGTAATGTTGTCTGGTGTACTGTTGTCTGGTGTACTACATTGTCTGTCTGTGTACTGTTGTCTGGTGTACTGTTGTCTGGTGTACTGTTATCTGGTGTACTGTTGTTAACATCCTGCATGGCCTGAAAGTCAAACAGAACTGGCTCATAAACAGTATCCTCTGGAGAAAGCTTAGGTGCAATGAACATGACATATCAGTCTCCATGGTAGCCTGAAGAGAACTGTGCCAAGGTGAACACCGGACATTTAAGATGCAATGGCTATAAAAGCACACAGAGCTGGAGAAAGAGAGACTTTCAGGCATGCTGTGAAGAGAGTTAAGTTCCGTAAAGAACATAAGTGATTGACTGTTGTCTATAGCACATGTCCTGGCGATTTATAGATAAGCACTTAGTAGAATCTGTTGGTGATAAAATAAATATATAATGACAACAACAACAACTACAACAACAAATCCAGATACTTACAAAAGTGAGCAGCTTGATGACATCAGAAACATAGGTGGCAGCACATGTAGGTACCCCCTCCCGATGACGATTAGCCCGTTGCAGAAGTGACACCAATAACAAAACGGCCATTGTTGTTTGGCAAAACTTTGGTTAGAAAACAGGTTTATTGAATAAATGTATACTTGGGAACCATGAAAGAGTTTGAGATTTGTGACAAACAAGAAGAAGGGTAGAAAGTAGACAGAATAAATGTATACTTGGGAACCATGAAAGAGTTTGAGATTTGTGACAAACAAGAAGAAGGGTAGAAAGTAGACAGAATAAATGTATACTTGGGAACCATGAAAGAGTTTGAGATTTGTGACAAACAAGAAGAAGGGTAGAAAGTAGACAGAATAAATGAATAGTAACAAACAAGAAGGATGGAAAGTAGACTGAACAAATAATAGCAGTAAGCAAGAAGAAGAATAAAAAGTAATAAATAATAGTAACAAGAAAGGTAGAAAGTAGAAAGAAAAGTAATAGAATCAAGAATGGAAGAAAGTAGACAGAATTTCTAATTAGTTAAAAGAGCAGAAAGTAGGCAGAATAAATAATAGTAAACAGAAGGTCAGAGAGTAGACAGAATTAATAGTACAATTAATGACAAGAAGGGAAGAGAGTAGACAATGAAATAAAAAAAAAATTAAAATTAAAGAGATGTAGAACAAAGACAACAAACTATTACAAGCTTTCAGTGGTTTGGATTTTACATAAGCTGTTGTTAAATCAACACAAGCTGTCTGCTGACAAGCTGCCCAACGTTGGAAACAACCGGTATTTCGGAATTGCAAACTGAGTTCGCAACGCAGAAGCCAAATACACACACCTAGGGCACAGACCGCTCATTTTGCTGCTGATAAACTTTTTACGACATATAGTGGAGATAGAAAGAGAAAAAATTAGTTGGCGAAAAGGAAGCAGACAGAAAAACGAAATTGACTGGCAGAAAAATTATCTTTCACTTGTGATAAAGACAACCATTGTACTCACAAGTTTTCCAGCATTTAAAGCCGTGATTGGCAGGGGTTGAACTGGTTTACTCTGACGTAGACTGATGACATGGAAAGGTGCATATATGCCAAAAACAGCACACGGTACCCAGATTAAAACCGTGTCTTGGAAACACTGGGTGAACTTGGGCCATGATGACGTCAGAAATTCCGTCTGGTTCTGTGGAAGACAAGCATTGGTCACTGAGTTATAGTCGAGATTATTTTGACCTCATCACCCACCAAGTGCCGACTGGTATATAAAGTATAGGTCCTAGACCTGTATGCTCAGAACCCCAGAAGGCGCGGACAATAGTTCTTTTTTATTACTTTTAGTCAAGAGGATCGAATTCACTGCACGGGATCTCATTCCATATTGCTTGAGCCATGACCTACTTACTAAAGTAGGTCATGCTTGGTCTCTCTCCTAACGGAGCCGGACTTTTTCCCAATATTGAATGTTGAATCAAGAATCGACCTCACAGCACTAGGGACACCCTAATAAGTGCTCCATCCTCATCTTCAGCAGCAAGTGGAAAGTTCCAATTCCGATGGTACCAGTAACTGTCTGACTGTGTATCCGTCCCGCACTTCTCTTGAGTGTTGAGCGTCGGCCATATTCCCTGGTAACTCCCCGCAGAGTCCTTCTCCTCAGACAGTAATGATATATTCGTGCCTCCACACTGTTCACTCGCTCCTAAAGGACCCTCTGTGTACCCAGGCGAATGGCAACCATGCGTTAATACAGGACAGCTGCTATCCAATTCACAAGCCATGGACAAACTCCCTTCTCCATGAGTGCAGATATGAAAATATAATATCTGACTCTACCGTAGGCATCCTTAAATCAAGCGCTGCCACAACCGAATCATATCTATTCTGAAATCCCTCATAAACATCACAAGCAAAAGTAGCTATATTTGACAAGGTATATTTCCAAGACAAACGGCTTCACCATTTTGCCAAGGAGAAATAATTCTAGAGAATGGAAAGTTCAGGAAAGTGCAAGACTCCAAGAAGAAGTAAGTCAATTTGAATTTTTTTTTTATGGGATGGAAAAATAAAAGGGAAGGGGGGGGGGGGGGAGATACTGTTTCCCAAAAGGACCTGGCCTCGGCTCCCATGTGGACACAAACTTAAATGAGCACAGGTAAAGTCCTGGAAAGTAAATGCGGCCGACGTGATGTTGATCACAACACCCGCAAAGTGCCGATTTGTCTATAAATATAGGTCTAGCCCTATATGCCCAATACGCCTCTGAGCGTGCAGAAAAGGTTTCTCTGTCTCTCAGTGTAAAACGGCTAGCGGTTTGTTGAGAGGTGCGGCGAGCCCAGCGACAGACGAGAAGGAAGAACACAGAAGAAGGAGAGAAAAAAGACAGTAAGAAGAAGGAAGACTGGGAAAGGAAGGAGAATAGAAAAGGAAACTGAAATTGCAAGGGGTGAAGACGGAGGGGGAAGAAGACCGAAAGAAGAAAACGGAATATGCAGGGAGAAGGAAGACAGCAGGGAAAAGTCATCAGCAAAAGTAAGACAGCTAAGGAGGAGGGAAAGAATGGAGGGATTGAAGACATGGAGGGGGAGGGAAAGGGGAGGAAAGAAGGGGGAAGAATATTGGATTACATGAAAAAGAAAGGGAGAGGATTTGGGAACGTGTGGAGCTACAAATAGCAAGATAAAGATTAATGGCTCTATGAAATGTATGGAAGTCAAAGGTTAAAGGTTAAAGTCTTAATGATCGACTTCATTGCACCGTTTTATCCCATATGGCCGAGTCTCTCTAAGCAGTAAGCTAGCCGCTCGCTGAAAGCGCCACACAAAGCACTAACTCCCTGGCTCCGGCGACGATTCTCAGTGTTCTCTGTAAAAATGGCATTCGTGAACCAAACTACACAGCCGTCACGATCTTAGAGCATGAAGTAAACGGCTTGACCTTTTCGCCAAGGAGAACAAATACCAGAGATAAAGTTCAGGGAAAAGCAAGATACCAGGAAGAAGTCAATGGAAATTAAAAATGTAAGGGTGTGAGAAAGAAGGAAGAAAGAAGGGGGAAGGAGGGTAGAGTAAATGAGGAAGGAAGGCAGAAGGCATGGGAGCGTGGAGGGGTACAAATAGAAAGAGGAATCTTAATGGCCTTATGAAGTATACGGAGGTGACAAGAAATTAGTGCGAGAACTAAATCTGATATTTAACTGTAACGTCTAAACTCCAGTGCTGTATTACACTAGGAACAACTAAAACATGAACGGTGTTTCAGGAAGTTATACCTGTTTGATTCTCATACTTGCCATGTTAACCATGCAGACTGCAATCATAGAGTGGGAAAAAAACCTTTTTAAAAACAAAAATTTATGGACAAGACCACTCTAACCACTAGTCTCAAGATTATTAACCTCTATGATCTGATTGATGATCATTAGTAATTTGATGTGTTTTTCAAAACTGGTTATGTAACTACATCGTCAACCATAACATACAAATCTTGGGACCATCAACCGCGGGACGCTGATGTATATGTTGAAGGAGGAATCTGAGCACCTTTGGACGTGTCCGGAGTGCCGTGAAGATAAACTAAAACATAACCCATACAAATCTTACCCATAATGGAGTGTCGCAGAATTGTGTAGATGTCATCTTGCGTCCACGGATAAGGTAACAGAATTTCTAAAACAAGGTGTTGACGGGTTCACACGGACATGTCTGCACTATACAAACATGTTACTCAAAGTTGTTTTATTATTTTTTATTCCTGTGAAGAATGTGGGTCATGTAACAAGCGAACAGGTGGCAGAAACAGAACCTCCGTTAAGTAGCTGGGGTTTTCAATGCAGTGGCACAGATTGGGAACTGATAGAAGTAAAAAAAAAAAAATGCAAGTGGTGGTTAGTTGAGACACTAGACAAGTTAAATATTGAAAGATATTGTGATCAGGCCTGGATTCACACCGTGCCACGAAATGACAATCCGCTGTTGAAGGATCACGTTTACTTCCTCGCAATGTCTTTAAGAGTGCTTGAATCCTAGGTAGGAAGATATAAAGAAGCCAACGCTAGCAGACTGTATTAAATAACTATATAAAAATCAACTAAAACGCCGCGAACTAATTTATTATGTTGCTCCTCAAGTCACAATTCTGCTGTTCGTTTATTCGGTTTCAATGAATTTAACAAACACGTCAATCCAATTCACTGTAAATGAAAATGAAATTATGTGTCTTGAACTACGCTCCTGCAAGAGTCTGCCAGTAGGCCTTGCTGTGCATGACAAATTAATTAGTGACGTTCATTAATTGCCCTGTTGGGACCGTTAATGTATACGTGTGTCAATTCTTGCCAACTCATCTCACAGTCGGCATTACAGCCATGTATTTATAAACAAACCTTGATGGTCTCATGATCTCCCACAGCTAATACTCTGTTTCCAGGGCATCGGTTTGTCTTTTCAATAGTCATAGCCTGATTACGCGAAGTGTTATTTTCCTCGAATTTTAGCAGACTGACTTACGTTTTACCCCACCAGGACATCACACTGAGCGATAAACACCTGGTGACACAAAATGCCACCATTCGGATGAGGATCACCCGTGGAGAGGTCGTTCAACCGTCAGGTTATATTAGGTTCCCTGGCAACACCCAGAGTGGGGCATCAAAATAACGAGAAATTTGTCCCACGTGAGGAAAGAGAGTTTTTAGACACATTGCTCGAACATTAGCACACGGTTGTGTGGTATATAAAGATTCTATTTATCTTTTAGCAACCACCTTGCGTAGCCTCGCCTAAAACGTCATAACATCAGCCATAAAAATGGAGATGAAGGCGGTAACCACGTTTTCCGTGACTGGAAAGTAGTGTCATTCTGCTTCGCCTTCGCCGGCTGTTAACTCCCGCAGAAAGTTCTGGTTGTTCGTCAACTTCTGGCCTGCAGTCCTGTTTCAGAACCTGAGTGTTTCGTGTGCATCCGTTTGACAGATCTGACTCATTTATGTGCAGACATTTGGGTCCTTGCCTCTTAGGCAGATGGAAGCTTTCAGTTGGTCGACTCCTACGACATGCTTTTGGGTTAGGCAGATGGTCTGTTCTTGTTTTCCCTACAATAGGGCCCCGGAACCCACACGGGGAAATAGTGTAATTGTGATGGACTCGCAGAGCATGCTTTGGTCTGAATGGTTTGGTAAGGTCACTGTAGGAGCACATGATTGTCTGCCCTTGTCATGTAAGTGTGAAGGTAATGAGCAGGCTGAATGATTGGCTGTTGCCTCCCTTCTGGATTGCGAGCTAATCAAGTGTGATTAAGTGAACAATGCATCTGAACTGAGTTCTAGTTCCCGTTCTATTCTTTAAAAAAAAAAAAAAAAAAATTTCGACCACGTTCAAACCTGCTGACAGCAGTGACAGTCTCCGGTTATATGTGTGGTCTAGTTTATTTGCGTCACTAGCTTGGGTAAGATTGTGATATGGGCGCCAGCTCTCTGGTTTTATGTTCCTATCCTGACAGATAGACCGTTCCTTCCTGTCTGTGTCCCAATGTATTCTTCTTATCCTTATCTTCTGTTTTATCCTCGTGGATCCTCATCCTTCCTGTTAATTATCCTTAGTATTTTCACGGAACTGAGTACCCACTTTTGTAGGCAGAGATTAAGCGGGAAGTGCACTGTGGGTCTGGAGGCAGGCAGTCTGTTTATCCGATTTTAACTCTTCATTGGCTAATGAGATTGGGGACAGAGAGGCGTGGGGATCACATGTGTGCAATGACGTCAGATCATTCGCTCATTGCAAACGTCATAGTACACATCAGTATTGTACTGATTTCTCTGTACATTTCTATTCCATTTTCCTTTATTATGAGTCACATATGGCTTGCAGTCTATTCCTTCATTCCGTTCTTTCTGTGCGATCAGTTCAATATCATGAATGGAATCTAGTCCAGCAGCTTTGGCCTCTCTCATCAACGTTCGTTTAAGGGTTTCTTTTTGGTGTCCTCGCCTCCGCAATCCCTTGATTTTCCATTGTAATGCCTGTTTAATGATTCTCTGCTGGTTTATTCTCATAGTGTGTCCAATGTAGCACCATCTTCTCTGTTTTTTAACTGTTGATACTAGTGGTTGCCCATACATGTCTCTTAATTCCTCCAATCTCTTTTAATTCACCCCATTTTGTTTTCATCCTTTTAGGGGTGGGTGGGGGTGGGTGTGCGTGGTCTCGAAGCATGGTGTCCGCCTTGAGTGCTAGAGGTTCCAGGTTCAATTCCCCGTAAGGGCTGGGATTTGTTCATATGGACTTGGACTTCTAGTAATTCCACCTGGTCTCTGTGTAGTGAGATCGGAGCCAGTGTGCATTGTTGCGCACGTAAAAAAATCCCTTGGCAGATGAAAATCGAAATGAGTAGCCTAACGGCGCTGCCCGGGCAAAATTTGGAGTTAAAAATCTACCCAAAGTATTTCAGGATCCTCGCCGGTGCTACAGAGCCTGTGCACTGTGCTGACCTTCTTCGGATTCAGACTTGAGTTATAAGAAGAACTAAGCACTTATGGACCTATACCCGTGTGCCATGATGTTGATCTGTTGTTCAAAATTCAAAACTTCAAAACTTTCATCATTTTCTCACACACTTGTGTTCGTATACATTTAATTTCGTTCCTTGTCTTTAGTGGTTTCTTTACTTTTACTGGCACATGTTGAAATATACTAACATTAGAATTGAAAATACGTAGCTTAGTTAAAAACTAAACAATTTAGAGTTCCATATTTTGTACAAGCTATTGAAAGCTGTTGATGCCTTGTCTATTCGTGTCGCCATTTCTTTTCCGATTCCACAGCATAACCATTGTCTCTGTTCCTGTAACAAGATCGCCGAGTTTTAAATGTATTCTAGCTGTATGACCAAAATCACCCGCTCACAAAATCCGTAGAGAGAGTAAGCGGAAAATATGGAGTGATGGCATTATGAACAGCCTTACAGAAATGAACATCAGTCTTAATAGTGTTCTTGACTGAGCTTTTCAACGAAAGTTACACCCCCCCCCCCCCCCCCCCGGGGGTGTGTATCCATATAATCCACGTCAAATATTTGAAAAATATCCACACATACTTCAGGTGTTCTAGTATCCAAATATGTGGATATATCAAACCAACCACTCAAGCTATAATCTCGAGTATACTGCCCGTTACTGCCTTTGTCATACCACTTCTAAGGCTGGAGGCAGAGAGGTGTGTGAGCCTAAGGATTTACAGGCGTGTGGCTAGTGCTGTCGCCACAACTGTGCAGGCCATGATTTTATTTTGTTCCCCCCCCCCCCCCCCCCGACCTAGAATCGTCATCGTGTGTGCTTCTTGTGCAGAATACGTGCGCAGTAGCAGACCTGTTTATGCGTAGTCACGTAACTTGAGCACACGTTGGTCTGGACACATAGAGCAGGCAATCTACTAGGCCATATATATGCAGCAGCGGTAGTGCTTTTTAGTCGTCTGCCATTTGCTGATGACACGGATCTTATCTTCTTCTTCCTTCTTTTTCTTCTTTTCCACCTTGTACCTTGTACGATATTTGATAGACCAATCAGCACTCGGTGGCCATATTATAGACCAATCAGCACTCGGTGGGTGATATTTCTTCTTCTTCTTTGCGTTCACCAGCTGTACACTCTGGTGTTAAGTTCTGGTTGTTCATCCACTTCTGGACTGCAGTCCTGCTCCAGAACCTGAGTGTTGCGTGTGCATCAGTTTTACAGATCTGATTCAATTGAATGCAGACTGCTGGTTCCTTGCCTCTCAGGCAGATGCACTCCGACTTCAAAGGAAGCTCCCCAGTTAGTCGACTCTTACGACATACTTTTGGGGAGGCAGTGGGTCTATTCTTGTTTTTCCCACAATAGGGCCCCGGAACCCACACGGGGGGGGGGGGGGGGGGGGGGTGATATTTGATAGAACAATCAGCACTCGGTGGGCAATATTTGATAGACCAATCAGCACTTGGTGGGCGATATTTGATAGACCAATCAGCACTTCGTGGGCGATATTTGATAGACCAATCAGCACTTCGTGGGCGATATTTGATAGACCAATCAGCACTCGGTGGGCAATATTTGATAGACCAATCAGCACTCGGTGGGCGATATTTGATAGAGCAATCAGCACTCGGTGGGCGACATTTGATAGACCAATCAGCACTCGGTGGTCCTCATCCCACCAGTCAGCTTGACTTCTCAGGACATTGTAGGCGGGGTCGACCCCTGAGACAAGGTCAATTAAGATGAGATAAATTCACCTTACTGCGGATCTGATTGAGTTAGCATGCAAGCGGGTAAAACAAATGTTAGTCTCCCTATTCACATAGTGTTACACACTAGCTCACTCCTGATTTGTCGACCTTGAGCCACATTACCTTGCCACAAGGTTGCGGGGGGTTTCCCCGCAATGCCACTGATATCATTTATTGTATATTTCAGCATGTCAGTGACTTTAACACTCCAAAAAGATCGACAAACTGGGTCTAACACAAAACTCTTTTACAGCATGATCAAACATCTCACAGACATTCTCTTTCTCAGAATAAAAAGGTAAATGCAACACAACCCAGAAAGCAAACCAAAGAGTGGAATACCCGTAACCTGCTGGAAGGTAGACCAGCCCAACAA